GGGGTCCTTCAGCCCAGGTCATGATCCCAGGGTCCTGGGATCGAGCCCCGCATCAGGCGCCCTCTGCTGAGCAGGGGGCCTGTTTCTCCCTCTGCCCCTCTCCCTCTGCTTGTGTTCTGTCTCTCGCTTTCTCTCTCTCAAATAAATAAATAAAACCTTAAAAAAATAAAATAATACTAATGCATATTTATTGTAAATAACCTGGAAAAATCAAGATAATACAAGGCGCAAGCTAAAAGTATCCATAAACCCCTTCTATCCATAAACTCATTGGTCAAATGTTGGTACAAAAAATTTCCAGTCTTTTTTTCTATAAATAGAGATAATGTGCTTTTAGTTTGATAAATAGATTTCAAACTGTAATATAATTTTGTCGCTTTGGTGGGGTGGAGAATGAGCATTTTCTATATCATTAAGTATTCCATAAGAGCATTTTTTTAAAGCTTTTTTCCTTATTGCCAAAGCTCTTGCTCAGTGCAGAGGACTTGAGGAAAAAAAGCACTAAGCAAAGCAATCCATTATCTTTTTACTTTCTAGAAAGAACCTCTGTTAACATTTTGGTGTATGCCCTTCTGGAATGTCCTTTTTGGTTTTAATTGGAATTGCATTAAATTTATAAATTAATTTGAGGAGAACTGACATCTTTACAATATTGAGCCTTCTCTTCCAGGAGAAAGTAATGTCTCTCCATTTATTCAAGCCTCCTTTTATGTCCTCCAGTAAAGTTTTGTAGTTTCCTTGGTATAAGAATTGCACGTTTATTGTAAAGTATTTTATTTTTTTATTTTGTCGTTGTTGCCTTTGTGAATAGGGTCTCTCTTTGTCCTTATAATTCCTCAGTGTTTATTGCTGATGTATAGGAAGGCTGTCTGTTTTCCTGTATTTGCATGCTGGCTCCTTGATGAGCTGTCTCGTTTCTACTTGGTTTCCATCTGATTCTCTTGAGTTGTTAAGAAAACAGTAATAAGCGTCTGCAAATAATATTGTGTCTCTTTTCAGATTGCACTACCACGATTTGCTCATTTTGTCTTATTTATACAATGGTCTTAAAGAATATTTTATTATGGAGGATGTCTGTCATAGCCACTTAGGGAGAATGGTATAATGGAGCCCTGGGTACCCACGACCTGGCCCCAGGGAATAGCAACCCATGACCTTTCCTGCCCTATCTGGACGCCCTTCACACCCTCCCCTCCCCTGTGATTTTGAAGGAAATCTTGGACACCATATCATGCCATCCTATTCCTTGACTCCTAATGCCTGCAAGTTATCCTGCCATATGGATGACTTTTAATACCTTGATTAATCTCCTTCTCTGGGACATTAAGTTGTTTCTATTTTTTCAATATTATGTCAAGAATATCCTTCTACATAAATGTGTTTATGTATCTCTAACTTATTCTAAATTTATATCCCTAGAAATGCTAAATCCCTAGCATTAAATTAAAATCCCCAGAATTACTGGATCATATGGTATTTTGATCATTTATTTTCCTTTAAACACATACACACTATCACATGATGGCTTTTCTGATTAGAAATATAACACATGTTCACTGCAGAACTTTTGGAAAATACAGAAAAACACAAAGAAGGAAATTAAAGTCACCCATAATCGTGCCATTCAGAGGGAAGCCCTCTTGACATTTTGGAATGCGTTCTTCTCGTTTTGTGTTATGGGTGCGCCCACCATGTTTATGCACCCCCACGCAGACTCACATGCTTACAACACTACATGTTACAAATTGTAAGCCTTCTGGAAGACTGGGGTGGGGGGCAGATTGATTTGTTCACTTTTTAAAATAGTCACTTCAAAAAAAATTTTTTTCAAAATGATGGAAACAACCCAAATACCCGTTAACTTGGTGGTAAATGGATAAATAAGATGCAGTAAAACTGTAGAAAGTAATATTATTTAACAGTAAAAAGGAATGAAGCACTGATCTGCACTACAGTGTGAATAAGCCTCAAAAATACACTAAGTGAAGGGAACCAAGTGCAGAAGACCACTTATTGCATGATTCCATTTGTATGAAATGTCTAGAAAAGATAAATCTCTAGAGTTGGAAAGTAAATTAGTAGTTGCCTGGGACTGGGGCTGAGAACAGTGATTTGACCGTAAACGGGCTCAAGGGATCTCATTGGGGTGATAGGAATGTTCACAATTGTGATGATGGTCACACAATTCCATGAATTTGCCAAAAATCACTGTACACGTAAAACAAGATGCATTTTGTGGAATTTCTTAATGTCAATATTACCTCCACGAAGCTGACTTTTTAAAAGAGTAAAGAAAACCTAAAGCTTCGTTTGGAAAATGAAGACAAGTAAAAAGAACAAAATAAGAAATCTACCACATAGGGCTATTCACTTGTGCTGTTTTGAAGTGCTTCCTATTTTTTGTCAATTGTATAAATTCCTCCTTATATTCCTTCTGTTCTTCCTTTTTAAAATTTTTTTTATTTTTAAAAGACTCTATTTATTCACTCAAGAGAGACACAGAGAGAGAGAGAGGGAGAGGGAGAAGCAGGCTCCCTGCAGGGAGCCTGATGCAAGACTCAATCCCCGGGACCCCAGTGGCTCAACCACTGAGCCACCCAGGCGTCCCCATTCTGTTCTTTCTCTTCTAATGTGGAATCGCACTGCATCTCCAACTTTATAACCTTTGCTTTTCACTTAAAAAATATGTCATAGGCATTTCCCAAATCATTATACTTTTGCTGTTATATGGGAATTATATAGTTTATTATAATGTATTGACTCTTTCTCTGGTGTGGACATCTCTAGATCCCCTCCCCATACATGACCAGTGTGTCCACCATTGCTGTTGGAGTCACTTCCTGGAAACTGAAGTATTGAGTCAAGGAGAAGTATTTAGTCAAAGACCTAAGCATTTTTAAGGCTTTTGATATTTTCTGGTGACCACCAGGAAGGCGAGGTATACCAGTTGCCACTTCTACCAACAATTAAGCAAGTGTCTGTTTCCAAATGCCCTCAATAAAGCTGGGTGTTATAAGTTATTTTATGTTTGGCAATGGGGCGGGCAAGACATGGTTTCTCACTGTTGGTTGAAATGGAGTTTATGATTTCTAGGGAGAACACACGTTGCTTCATACATTAATAGCTCCTTTGTAATATTTTTTTCTCTAGTGAAATGCCCATGCTTGCCCTTTGCACATTTTTCTATTGGAGTATTTGTCTTTTTTGTTGACTTTGAAGTGTTTGTTTTTATAAAATAAGAATATCAACTTTTATACTGCCAAATATGTTACAAATATTTTTCCAAGTTTGATGTTTGCCATTTAATTTTCTTGATGGTAGTTTTGATATATTATTATTTGATATATGTTATTTCTATGGAGTTATCAGCATTTCTCCTATGGTTTCTGACTTTATTATAATGCCTGGAAAGGTCTCCTCCTCCTCAATATTTGTATAATATTCACCTACATCTTCTTTTTTGGTACTTTGAGACTTTTCTCTCCTCCTGCCTTCCATTACTTTTGCTATTTAATCTTTAATCTGTTTGGAACTTATTTTGATAGATGGCTTAAGATTGGAATCTAACTTAAATTTCTCCCAAATAATTGAATAATTGTTTCAGTACTATTAATGAATAATTTATATTTTACCTACTGGTTGGAAATAGCCACCTTTGTCATGTCTTAAATACTTATCTCTACTCGATTCTCTTTCTGGGGGCTTTTTATCTCATCCCATTGATCTGTCTGTATTTTCATATGCCGTTAGGACGTGTTTTTAATTATTTTGGCTTTTATGATACATTTTAAATCTGGCAGTGCCAGATCACCTGTCATCTCTTTAGGCTGCTATCTCCTGATTAGTCCTCCAGATGCATTTTAGAGGCATCTTGTCCAGTAAAAGAAAAATCCTTCTGTGATTCTGATTGGGATGGCATTACATTGAAAAATTAATTTGTAATGAACCAACACCTCTATTCTTGAGCCTAACTGTCCTGGAGCATGCCATGCCTCCTCACTTAAGTCTGCTGTTACATCTCTCCCTTTTAGTGTTTTTTGTCATTTTTAATGCTGAAATAGCACACTTGTTATTCTTTTGTTACTTGTTATTTAATATTTTTGTTGGTCTCAGAAAGAAGATCTTTTGCCATTAAGTTTTCTTACTGGTTGTTACTGATATAAAGAAATGGTATTAATTTGTGCTGACTGGTCATTTAACTAGACTCTCTTACTAGTTCTTAACTAGTTTTTGTGGGGGGGGTGGATTAAGGGTTTGTAGGAAAACATTTATCTTGTTTGCAAGAATTTTTTTTCTTTCTAAGAGGTGTGTCTCTAAATCCTTTTTTCTTTCTTATTTTGTTGGCTAATGGTATGGTTTGAATCTTTACCTTTCCTTTATCTCTTTAATGAGAATGTCTCCCGTGTTCACCATTAGTGTGATATTGAAAGCGAATTTGATCTAAAGAGGCTTCATGGCAGTAGCTTTTCTGGTGCTAGTTTATTAAGCATTCTTAACAGCAGTAGATATTGGGTTTTATGAAATGCCTTTTTGCATCTTGTGAGTTGATCATATGTTATGTTTTCCTTTGGACTATTGATGTGATGGAATGATATTCATAGATTTCTTTATGTTGAACCACCCTTTCTTTATATTGAATATAACTGTGCTTGATCATGGTATGTTATCCTTGTAGTATTCTAATAGATTCTACTTGCCAGCACTCTATTGAGAATTTTCATAATAATATTAATAAGTTGGGCATTTTATTTGGCTCTGTTTGTCAGTCTGTGTTGTCAGTCTCTGTTGCTGGCTGAGTGAAATGAACTAGGAGGATCTTGGTATTTCTTATGCTCTAGCATGATTTCTAAGCATGGAATTATCTAGGATAGTATTGAGCATTTTGTGTGAGGGGGAAAATCTTGTCCATAAAACCTTCTGAGCCAAGCATCTTTGTTAGCATGCTCTACCCCCACCCACCCCCTTCCCCAGCTACACATGATTTTACCCATCTCTTGCAGGAGGAATCTTTGAGTATGCGGACGGCCCCAACGCCCAGGTCATGAATGCTGAGGAGCATGCCTTTCGATTTTCTGCCAACATCATCAACAGGAACAGGACTCTGCTGCCCAACACAACCTTGACCTATGACATCCAGAGGATTCACTTTCATGACAGCTTCGAGGCCACCAAGAAGGGTGAGTTTGCAACTTTGACTCTTCCAAGCTTGTGGACAGAGGAGCTGTGTTTGCTGTTCGGGGTCCTGAAAACAGGCCCATGCTCTCGGTAGGCTGGATGCTTAGAGCCTGGTCTGCCTGGTTTGGGGACCTGCCACATTTCCAGTTCAGTGTAGGCTGTGTCCTCCCCCAGATTGTCCCTCAGGAATTTCCAAGCCACTGGCATGTGCCGTGAAGGAATGAGGGAATCATGGGAGGAGGTGGAGAATGAGAACCAAGATGGGGTAGGGGAGTTAGCAATGAGAAGGTCAGCTCTTCTCCCCAGCACCTTTGAACCGGAGCCAGCATTTCCAGACTTGTTTTTCTTTCATTGAAACCCCACCCAGAATATGAATAATTAAACTATGCAACATTTAGTTGCTGTAAAAAGACTTACTAAAAACAATGAGGCTGCTTCTATGGCTAACGTAATTTGACCCCAGAGGACTGTGGATGACACTTGAAGTTTGATATTAGCCTCCGCATTCAATACGTTTCCATATTTTGTGTTGGAACAGTAACAGGAAAATTATGTCATAAAAATAAGTTTTAGTAAATCCAGTAAAACAGTTTTTCCCACGCCTGAATTCTAAAGAACAAAACAAAACGAACATTGGATTGCATCCTTCTTTATTAGTGACACATTTACAATGAGCTCCAGTGACTCCACAGAAATGACTAGAGAACTTTATTCCAGGCTCCTCAGGGAGAAAAAAAAAAGCAACTTGTTGATACCTGAATGAGCCAGCAGTTTCCTGTGTGGCATATAGCACATATATTCCTTTGTTATTGTTTTAAAAACATAATTTATACACATGTACATACTTAATTGAAATTAACTTAGAGGCTCAGATATCTCTAGAAATAGCTTCCATATATCCCAAGAGTTCCACAGAACTCCATTTAAAAATCTCAGGCCTAAGGAATCTCATTCCCAGGGAAGATAAGATCATCCTTCCTATAATCTGCCATCATAGCCCCTTGCTATTCTTCTTCAAGGTGCGTGTCATAATTTGTAGTTAATTAATGGTGTGTGTTTGATGTCTTTCCCCTTCTTTCCAACACCACTGGAAAGAAGGCTGTCTCTTATTAACTGATATAACTCTAGCACCTAAAAGACTGATGTATAGTAAGTGCTCAGTGAAATAATTATTGAATGAATCAATGAATGAATGATGTGAGAATGGGGCATGGGAGTCTGAGAATCTTTGCCCAGGACCCCTGCCTGCTGAGCTTAGGGACAGTGTCATTCATGCATCTTGGGTAGACTGAGGCACATTCAAAAGATCCCCTTGGTCTTTCAAAGGGGTTCCTAGTAGTTAATCAAGGCCTCCTGGGCTCCCAGGTATAGACCTACCGAGGTGATTCCTGGGGCTGGTTCTGTTTCCCAAAGCCCCATTGTGGGTAAACACCTTAGCATAGAAAAGCAGCATAGCATGAGCTTGGAGCCAGACTGCCTAGCCTTGCACCTTGTCCATTCTGATCTTGGTTGTGACCTTGAACAAAATACATTTTTTTTGTCTACAAAACGGACACACTTTTGTGAAGTGCCTAGAACAGTGGCACATACAAGGTACTCTGTGCTCTCAGGACATTGGCTGTCTTGCTTTCTACCCACTGAGCCTTCAGGTTAAGGGCCTCACATCTACAGGCACTTTCTCCACTGCTGGCCTCATCTCACCTGCCCTGCTCCTCCATGCCTTGTGAACCCAAGAACACAGGATCCCTGACATTGAGCACGATGCCCCTGACTTTTTTGATACCACTGTCCTGAGTCTCAGAGCCAGCCTGCAGATACACTAGAGGAACTCCACTCTGATAGCCTCGAAGAGTGGTCCTTTGCCCATCACCCTTCTCCTTGCGCTGGCAACCCTCCTCCCTACTGGTGTCCTCCCAGCTCTCTCTCCACATGCCCTGTGGCCAACCCTGTACAGTCAGATATCCACCTCCCCACTGAGAGTCCCTGCTGGCATCCTCTGCCTGGCCTCGTCCAGCTAGAAAGCAGCTGAACTCAACCAAAAATGCTCAGTGAAAAGGTGAGGACACAGAACAAACGCCTGGAATCAGAACAGAGGTTTATGTGGACATGATGACCCCAAAGGGCTAAGCTGGGTATATTCTGTCCATGTTTTCTAAAAGTTACTAAAATAATACAACAACTCTTTAGTAGCACACTTGTGAGTCAGCATGGGGACCTTCCCCAGGCAGCAGTGAGCCCAGGGCAGAACTCCAGAGTCTTCTGAGGCACTTCCTCCAGCAGGAACTTAGAGTTCTATGCGACACGGAACTGCCAAGTAGTGAGTAGACCTGAGACAGAAAGATGCAGCTCTGGAAGTCCAGCCCAATGGGTGCCCGTGACCACAGCCACCCCCCCCCCAACCCCTTACCATGTAACTTGTTTGCTTAAAACCCTGGCTGGCGTGTCCTGTTGTTCTTTCCCCAAATGCTCAGAGCCCATGGGGGCCTATCCAGTCTAGCCCAAAGGTGACCTTCCAGCCACATCTGTGCCATTTGCTCCCTCGGCCTCTGGGTTCTGTCCCTACCTGCCATCCTCCAAGGGCCATGTTTCCTCCCACCTCAGGGCTTTTGCACATGTTTATTCTCTTTGTTTGTAATGCCCTTTTCCTAGCCTACCTCTGCCCTGCCATTTGTCTAGGTCCTCTGGGGACCCTTCCCCAAGTCCCCAGACACAGTCAAGTCTCCACCTCATAAAGCTCTGGACTTCTCTTTCACAACCCTGATTGGTGGATATGTGTGTATGTGTATGTGTGTGTGTAATTATGTGATTATTGTCCATATCTTCTGCTAGGTTACACGTCTTCTTGCCTCTTTGCTGCTGGACTAAAGAACCACTACTGGTTCTGACTACTGGTGCCATACATAGACTGTTCTGGTTGTTTTTGAACTTCACATAAATAGAAGACCGGTGTGTATGTGTTGGCAGTGTGTACGATATACCTGTGAGATCCATCTATGTTGTTGGATGTAACGGTAATCTAATCACTATTGTGCAGTGTTCCATTATACAAAGACATCACAATTTTTAAAACTTGTATTTATTATTGGACATTCTCGTTGTTTCCATTTGGGCCCATAGAGTAGTGCTGCTATGAACATTCTCGTAGATGTCTTTTGTTGCACAAATGTGCACATTTTTTTGGTGAGCAGACACCCAGGGGTAGAAATACGAGGTCATAGGATGTCATATGTTTGGCCAGACAGCGTTCCAGAGTTCTGGCACCAATCCCCCAGGACAGCGCAGGACAATGGCCATCACTGTATGTCATCACGAACATGTGATAAAGTTAAGTTTTGTTTCTGGTGGTTGGTGTGGTGGATATCTCATTGCAGTTTTACTTTGTATTTCCCGGAGGACCAGAGATCTTGAGCATCTTTTTATATGCTAATAGATCACTTGAATCCCCTTTTCCTCAGGAGTGATTTTTCAGCCTTTCAAGCACTTTTAAAATGGAGTCACTTGTCATTTTCTTATTGACTTGTAAGAATCTTCTATATATGATGGGTAGGAATCCTTTGTGATTGCATGTATCTGCTGCAAATGAGCTTGCCTTTTCACTGTTTTAGTAAGATCTTTTGAGGAACAAAGTTCTTAACTTAAAGAAGTCTGATTTATCAATATTTTCCATTGTGCTTAATGGCTTTGTGTTCTATTTTTGTCTATCCTAAAGTCATGAAGATTTCCTCCTACGTTCTAGAAGCTCTGTTGTTTTGTCTTTCAGGATTAGCTCTATGATCTACCTCACACTGATTTTTCTATGTTTGGTGGGAGGTAGGAGTTGAGGTTGATTTTTTTCCTACACAGTGTCGGTGAGAGTGAAAACTGGTTGAACTTCTCAGGGGAGTTTGGAAATGTCTCACTAAAGCTAAATGTATGTGTGCAAGGGAGTTCCTGGCCACTTTATTGATAACAGCCAAATATGGGAAATAAAGGACCATCAAAAGGAGAATGGATAGATTGGGGTATACTTATACAATGGAATTTGGATTAGCAGTAAAAAAAAAAAGAAAAAAATTTCTGCTTATGCAAAATATCACGGATGAGCCTCGCAGGTGTAATGTGGGGTCACCTCTGGGGGAGGGAGGAGCATGCAGCAGGTATTAACTGGAGAGGGGAAGAGATAACCCTCTTAGGTTTTGGGAATGTTTTATATTTTGATCCTAGTAGTAGCTACATGGATGCAGTTATATGTAAAATTTCATAGAAGTCTATGCTTAAAATTGATGCACTGTACTGTATTGGGTTATGTCTCCAGAGAAAAAAGTTTGAGGCTCCTGTCTGCCTCGCTTTCCCTTAACACCCCTCCGATATATACTCTTCCTAAGACAGAGCCCTGCTGCGGTTAGAGCCACCGCTGTCTGACCCTGGAGGCATTTCTGCAGTTGGATGGTTCTCCCCTTTAGGCACACTCCATCCCTTGGGGAACCCCTTGTTCCCCTGATCTTTATTTTTTCCTTTTGATCTTCGGTGTTTGAAAATGTATTCCTCTGGAGCATCATCATTAGGACTCTTCTGGGGTATGACCTTGGGCTTCTTTCTAATTAACCCAATGAGGATGATAATCCAGCTGCAGCTGGATGCAGCCCCTTGGGCCACGTGGGGGGAGTGGGCACGGTGCACGGGGCCTGGCATTGCATGCCCCACCAGCTCCGCTCGCTCGAATTACTCCTTCCCTCCACAGGAGGCCCGAGAGGCCTTTCCTCCATTAAAAGGGACTTTCACTTATTGCCTTTATTTTTAAATGTTTTGTGGAAAATTAAAAGATGAGTGACTGCCAAACGATGCCCGAGCCAGCAACCCAGAGAGTGCCTGTGTTTTCTTCCAAGCCTGACCGGAGCAGGCCTGGAATCGACCCAGCACTCCCCAGGCTCCTCTGCCTTCACTTATTCTCTGGGCTGTTCAATTCCTTTTAAGACACAAATTGATTGGGATAATTTTTGCTCTAATGACAATTGCCACGGAAAGGGGGCTGGGGGGCTGCATTCAGGCTGTGGACTCCTGCAATGACTGTGAACCATTGAGTTACTGTAAAATGACCAGAAAATGGATTCCAAATTGAAGCTACAAATAATGTAATTACTGCAGTGTGTGCTCAGGGCTGCCAGAACAAGAGTTGGCTGCTACCCTGGAAACATCTGGAGATAAAGCTTCTACTGCTACTGCTGTAACCCCTGCCCTGGTCCCTTAGGGGCAGCAGCATTCTTCTGGGCTGGAAGATGCTCAGGAGGTGAAAGGAACAGGAGGGGACAGAAAAGGGGATGAGGAGAGAAGCCAAAGAGGAGAAACAGGTGAAGGACAGAACTGCTATTTCCTGCTTACCCAGCCATGAGACCTAATCACTGTGTCTCTGGCAGGATGAACCCCAGTATGGCCATCATCCTCCTAGTACCACTGTTGTCACTACTATCAACGACAATGCCCCATCATCACAATTACTATCATCACCATCAACAAAGGTATCACCTCCACTCTTCACATCATCACCACTGCCATCACTATTACTACTGTCATCATCACCACGCCACTGCCGGACAGCCACACCTGCATCATCACTAATCTCATCAGTGCCAACATCATCGCCATCATTCCTACTGCCATTGTCAGTCATGACATTGACATCTTCCTCATCATCGCCAGCCTCATCAGGGACAACATGATCACCATCATTCCTGTTATCATCGTCACAGTCATGACATTGACATCTTCATCATCACTAATCTCATCAGTGCCAGCATCATGACCATCCTTCCTACTGCCATCATCACAGTCATGACATTGACATCTTCATCATCACCAATCTCATCAATGCCACCAAAATAGTTACCACCTCCATTCACACCCTTGCCAACATCACCACCCCTAAGATCATCATCCTCCTCCTCCTCATGACTGTCACAGTGTCAGTATCTTTATCATCACCAGCCCCATCACCACCAACATCATCACCACAGTGTCATCAGCATCAAACTGTTGTCACCTCTCTCTCATCAACGCTTATATCATGGTCATTATTCCTACCTGCATCATCGCCATTACTGTCACAGCATTGATATTTTTATCATCGTCAGTCCCATCATCATCCCACCATTATGTCACAACATCAACATTATCATCAGTTCCATCTTCAGCGGTGCCATGGCCATCCATGATCATCAACAGCCTCACACCATGGTCTCCACCATCACAGCCATCACTGCGATCACCTTTATCATTATCTTCACAATTGGTATCAAAATCAAAATTGCCTCCTTCAAAATCACTCTTAAATGATCCTCTGCCAAAACATAACTTGTGTTTTGTCCACTCTCCCCTGCCTCCGTCAAACCAGATATCTAGACCTTGGGCCCGGGCAGGCAGACATGATCTAAGAGGTTGGGCTGGGTGAGGGTGAGGGTGTAGGAAGTATTTGCCTGCCTGCTTCCAGGCACATATCAGAGGGGGAAATCCAAAAGGCAGATTCTTGGAGGTGATAGTGGAAGGGAAGAAACACACTAGTCATTTGACTAAGTTATCAATCAGAGGGTCCTAGAGGCAAAAGGAGAAAGGTAGAGATGGCCACAGGCTGGTGAGTTTGGTGACACTCTATTGAAAGATTGCTTAAGACTCCTCTGGTTGCAGGTGACAAAACACCAAATCCTAAATGGTTTAAGCAAAAAGAATGTATTGATTCATGTAACCAAAATCCAAGGTTCTACTCGGTCAGGAGCTCTTCTTCCTCTGCCTTTGACTCTGCTCCCCTCCATACTGACTCCATTCCTTAAGCACTGCACTTTCTTTGTGAGCACAAGGTTGATACAGTACAGCCAGATCTTATTCCCCACGCCCTGCATGGCCCATTGCACAGGGAAGGTGCTAACTTCTTGGTGTGAGGTCTCATGGTATCCCGTTGACTCCGACTGGTCATATGACCATCCTCAAACCCAATGACTGGGGCCTGAAGGAGGCCAGCGGCTAAGGCTCGGGCTCTAGTCCTCAAGGCCTGGGAGTGGAGCAGGCGGAGGAGCCCACAGGAAACTCAGAGCCAGTTGCCAGAAGAAAGGGCAAGAGCTCCCTGACTGGCCCTGAAAGGTCCCACTTTCAGGATCTTTCAGGCACAATCCCTGTGTGAGTCTACACCCGCCCTCTGAGCCCCAAATGCCCTAGGGCTGCTCGGTTAAAGCTCTGCTGTTTGCCCTCCTCAGGAGCTTCTGCTTTCTGACCTACCTGAGCCCCTGGGCCTCCCCCAAGAATGCAAACTATTGGAAGGCCAGGATTCAATACTAATGCACCTAGCAGAGGCTGGTGAAGCACCTACTCAGACCAAGTACTGTTTTAAGCACCTTTAGGTACCATTAAGGCACTGTTTATTGTTGAGACAGTGCTCAACAACATAGATCAAGCCCTTGCTGCCTTGTACTGACGTTGTAGTGGGAGTAGAAAGGCGACAAATGAACAAGACTTCCGGTGGTCATTTAATAAATAAACAAAGCAGGGTATTGGGTTTCGGGAGTATGACTCGATATGGTATAACGTCAGAAATGTGGTAGTGGTGGTGATGAGGACAGGAGTGGGACACGGGTGGAGAGGAACCACAGCAAGCAGGACCTCGTCCGTCACCATGAGGACTTTAGCTTTTAGACCGAGTGAAACTGGAGCTTTTATTTATTTTTTTTTAATTTTTTTTATTTATTTATGATAGTCACAGAGAGAGAGAGAGAGAGAGAGAGAGAGGGGCAGAGACACAGGCAGAGGGAGAAGCGGGCTCCATGCACCGGGAGCCCGACGTGGGATTCGATCCCGGGTCTCCAGGATCGCGCCCTGGGCCAAAGGCAGGCGCCAAACCGCTGTACCACCCAGGGATCCCGAAACTGGAGCTTTTAGAGCCAAGGTGTGATGTAACCACCTGAGGTGGTGAGAGGTAAGAAGGTAGGGAGGGCCCCTGAGGAAGCTGGGGCAGCCGAGGAGGCTCCTGCAGTAGTGCAAGCAGAAGAGGATGGTGAGAAGTGGCCCGATTCCTGCACGTTCTGAAGCTGAAGCACTTGGGGTGCAGGATAGGAGAGAATGAGAGGAGTCAAGAGGAAGCCAGGGCTCAGGGCATAAGGCACTAAGGACGGTGGAGCTGGTTAACTGAGGAGGGGAGGCTGGAGGGGCAGAAGGGGCTGCATCTGGGACACGTTCGGTCTGACACGCGTCCTGGACATGCACATGGTGATGTCCAGTGAAAGGTGAGATAAGCACATGGGAAGTGGGGGAGCAGGCTGGGGCTGGGGTTTAACGTCACCGTGAGTAGGTGTTTCATCCTGCCCGTGTCTCAGCTGTCACCCCGGAATAGGGCAGGTTGGAGCTGGGGGTGTTCAGCACAGTGATGACCACATCACTGGAACGGTGCTGAGGGTCTTGTGCGCATGGTCTCGCTTGACCTTCCTATGATCCCATGAGGCGGGGGGGACTGCAGCCCCAGCTTCCAGATGAGGGAGCTGAGGTTCACAGGCAGCCTCAGTCATCCGCCCTCGGAAGGTCTCCGCCATGTTCATGGGATCACCAAAATCAGCGCACCCCCCTGTCCCCAGCCCCCAATCGCCCGCTGAGGCCCAGCATTGACCCCAGCCCCTTCCCCTCCGTTGCAGCCTGTGACCAGCTGGCGCTGGGCGTGGTGGCGATCTTTGGACCATCACAGGGCTCTTGCACCAACGCCGTCCAGTCCATCTGCAATGCCCTGGAGGTGCCCCACATCCAGCTGCGCTGGAAACACCACCCGCTGGACAACAAGGACACCTTCTACGTGAACCTCTACCCTGACTACGCCTCCCTCAGCCACGCCATCCTCGACTTGGTCCAGTACCTCAAGTGGCGGTCGGCCACCGTGGTCTATGACGACAGTACAGGTGGGTAGCCGGGCCCAGGGCACTCCAGCCACCCTCACCCCTCACTCAGCCACAGCCTGCCTCACACCGTCCCCACGCTGCACGCACCCCCGCAGCACGCTCTTGTCTGCACTCAGCATCCCCCAAGCCCCTGCACTGCCCCGGGCACAGCTGTGCCCACACCTGCCTGCGCTCTGACACTCACGTTCCCATCTGCACCAAACGTGTGCCACCCCAGGCTGGCTATGAGCGCCAGCTCTGGACTCACACAGGCCGGCGCGTGCACTGGCTCTGACGCTCACGAGCTGAGTAGCACAGAACCGTTTCCTCTCTTCCTGTTTCTTTCCAAAGCCTCACGTCCCGAGACATTTCTTAGCCTGGCCTCTTAAGAGAGAGTGACCTTGGCAAGTCACTTAACCCATCTGGCCCTTCTCTGCCCACGTGTCAAGTCAAGAGCAATAGCATCCGGCCTGGAAAGAGCCCTCCAGCTCTCTGCAGCCTGTGATTCTGTGTCAGCTCTTGATTACCTCCTAATGGGGAGTAGGAATCATAGGGAGAGAATCCCTCAGAAAAGTTGTCTATTTAACTCGGGATTCTACGAGCATCTGTGCAGTTCCTGCTATGCCCAAAGTACCAGATAGGAGATCCTGGAGGCCGGGGGTGGGGGGCCCACCTCTGCTCAGTGCCCCCAGCGTGAGGTGTCTGCCATTGAGGGGCACGAGTACCCAGCTCCAGGTCGCTGCCAGCGTTTTGGCAGCCCTGTTAGATCATCTGTCTTAGCACACCACCGGGGATGAGCGTGCCGCTTTGAGCCTGCTTTGTCGTCTGGCCCTTGAGCCTTGCGTGCCTCCAGGATTTAGCACAGGACCTGGTACAATGTAGACACTTTTAAATGCTTGTTGAGCTGAAGTGAATTGAATGGAATTCAGAATCAAGATGAAATAAATTATAATTAAATATGGCAGGAAGAGAGTGGCGGGCGCCAGTAAGGGAGAAGAATGAGGATGTGGTGCTCCCGTCATCTTTTGAGGAGTTAATCATATCGAAGGGGCGTGAGCACACACCCAGAGGTCACCAGTCATTCCAGCCCATCGGAGCTAAGAATCAGGCGACAAGTGTATAGAGTCAGCACCAAGGGACTCGGGGAGGGGAAGCCCTGCGGCCTTGGCTCATCCGGGGTGACTTACCAGGGGGAAACATGAGCTGGGCTTTGAGGGTAGACAGACAGGGAGAGCAGTCTTGAGGCATCACAGGCGGCGGGAACAGCGGGAGCAAAAAATGCGGGGGTGGGACGGTGCATGGCAGCCCTTGGAGAAAGCACAGCCTGGCTGGGGCGGGTAAGAGCAAGAAGGCCGGCGGCCCTATATTGATCCAGGTGGGAGCAAAGGAGGCCTGGATTTGAGGGGTTGCCTGGAAGAGACTTTGGGGGCCATAATGGAAGGGAAGAACTGGATGGACGGAGGCGATGCCGAAAAAACTGTAGCTGGACACGGCGCAGCCAGAACAGACCATGGCACGGCCCACGGCCTAGCAGCTCTGGGGCCTCCAGGCAGAGGCTGTGCAGAGCGGCAGATGCCGGACCCATGAGGCTCTCAGGGCTGACGCTGGCTGACATCTGGGGCTCCTCCCCTCAGGTGCCTTAGCTCTGGAGATGCGTGCACGTCACTTGAGTATCGACTCGGTTGGCCTGGAATGACCTGTGGTCCCCCTGGGTGGGCACACACTCGCCTGCAGTATGGTTAACTAACTTCCCAAGGGAGAGGCGATCCTGTCATCATGTCGTCACCCCTACCGGTGCCTAGGACACCCTTTCTGACAGTATTTAATTGTAGTTGATTCAACTTGATTTTCAATTCAGATCAGTTCCCTTTAACAGACATTTCAAAACATACGGGAGTCAGCGATGGAGCGGGTTTGGCCAAGAACACCCTGGGTCCTAGGGGTTCGGGGGTGGATTCAAATAATAATACGACTTCGATGATGATGATGATGGTAGGAGGAGGTGTGCTCCTGGAATCAGGATATTTCAAGGGGACAACTCGTGGGTTACCAGACCTGCCCCCCCAGAGTGGGAAGCACCTGAAGACCAGACTTGGGCTGTCTCTGCTATGGGGGTTGTGTGCGTTCGGATGTCGTGGCGGGAATGACAGACAACCCAGTTCAAACTGACCTGAGCACTAGGCGCTTCTCTCTCTGACTGACAAGAAGTCTGCGGACAGGCCTTTCTGGGGCTGGTTTAGCAGCTCGACAGAGTCAGGGCGCTGGGTCAGTGTCATCGCGCTTCTCTTGGCTTTCTCTCTCATGGTCAAAATAGAGCTGCTGCAGCTCCGAGCATCACATCCTCACATGCTGACACCCCAGGGGATAGAGGGGAAGGGGCAGGAGCCCAAGGGATTTTTCTCCATGGGACTCATGCCTCTTTTCAAGGAGGAAAGCTTGTCTGGGAACCTCCCAGCCGACCGTCCCCTGCAGCTCACCGGATCTGTGCCTGCCATCCTAAGCGAAGGGACGAGTCCTCTCTCGGGACTGGCACACAGCCACCCACACAGAACCATGGTTCTCCTAGTACGTTAGAAGGAGACACAGCAGTTTCTACGATATTTCTATAATGATGCTGTGAGACAGACCACCCCAAAACTTACTGGCTTAAAATACCCAACCTTTGTTTAAGCTCCTGAGTCTGTAGGGTCAGGGAGTGAGTGGCCGAGCTTGGCTAGGTGGTTATTGTGTCTCAGCTGGATCGCTCACCTGCTTGGGGTGGGGGTAGGGGGTCATTGGACGGTTGGTGGAGATGAGAGGGACAACCGGCTGCGCCCCCACCAGCAGGCCCACATGGACATGTTGTCACAACCATGGCAGAGGTGCCAAAGAACAGGCCGTGGGTGTGTAATTCCATTCCAAATGTCTGCTTGTGTCATGCCTGTGGATACACCCCCGGCCAACACGGGTTACATGCTAGAGCCCAGTGTCGTGAGTGGGGCAGGTCACCTGCCCGCAGTTGGAGCCCACTGCACAGTTAGTTATGGGGCAAAGGGGGTTAGCTAGAGGGAGGGGTGAAGAATTAGAGTCATCATTGCCACCTCCTGCAGGGAGAACTCTTTCTAAGCGCACCTGGGATACAGCAGACAAGGACGACCACAGGATGACGCAGAGAGGTCTACACCATTGAGAGAAGAGTTGTTACAGCTCGCTGTATGGCCACACCATTGGTGTGTTGGGTGTCATGGAGAAGCACTGGGGTTAGTCGGGAGATAGGAGCAAGAGCCTCAAGCATGGACAAGAGCCTTTTTTTTTTTTAACTCTAGAGCCTCTAATTATTTTATTTTATTAATTGTATTATTACCATAATATAGACTATAATGATGAGAGGTGGGATTTGTTAGGTGGGGATGTCCTCTTTGGGGCAGGAAGCAAAACAGATGTTGGGGCTTGTGGTTGGAGGGCTTATAATATGATCTTGCGAACACGCAAAAGCGCAGGGATAATAGGAACATAAACAGCTTTGGCCTTTCATTGGGCACGTGATCTCAGGATGTCAGGGCATCAGTTCTAGAATATCGCAAATGATTAGCGTGGGAGGCGACAGCGTTTGCCTGGGGACCTTTGACGAGTCACACCTTCGTGACCTGAGCTGCACACAAAGACAAACTCACGTCAACAGTGACGGGAAGGGTCTTAGAGAAAAGCCGAGGTGGAGAAAAGGGGCCCCAGCCTTGGAGCCAAAGGGTTGGGTCTCGAGTCTGGGTCCCGTGGCTAGCGCGCTGCAGAAGCTCGGGCCAGTCACTTAACCGCCTCAGTCTCTTCGTAACATTGGAACAAAAGTCCCTCGTCTACATGCCTTCTAGGACAGGGAGATGTTTAAATAGGGTAATGAGTGCAGAAGTGCTTTGTAAGTGAAAAGCAGGATTCTAACAACCATGATTCACTGCAGATATTTTTGAGAGAGATTGATGAGGGAAGCAGCCAGGAAGGAAAGCTCATCTTGGGCGAGCCAAGAGCCTCACCCTCTGCTGGGGTGGGCTGAGCCGAGCCTCTGGTCCCCTTGGGGAATACACTGATGGAGAAGGAGGTCTGACATTTGCTGCTGGAGGATGTGGGTCACTGTGTATTACACGGGGCAGTGCACTTGGCTGACAGGGAGACTCTGGTGGCCTCTGCTCCCGCGGCGGCGTGCAGACTGTCCCGGCCCTCACGTCCTGCATCCCCAAAGCTCACGTGCCCACTGATACTGCGCGTGACTCTGAGCAAGCGGGAGCACAGTGAAGACTGGGAGCCTCCCGGGGTGACAGGTGTAAGCGGGTGGCATCATTCAGCCCAACGGAGGATTTCGGGAGCTGGTTGGGGAGGGGAGGGTGAGGCTGGGTGCGTGTTCCAGAGGAGCTTGGAGCCCCTCCGTCCTCTGCGCAGGTCAGCTGATGGCCTCTTCCTGCCCGCTGTTGAGCCTGGTGTGGGGAAGACCCAGGGCACTCTAGGACTCCAGGGCCCTCTGGCAGCCCATACACCTGGGTCTGAGACCTTCCAGGGGACTAGGGGGTGGCCCGCAGCTGATGGCCATGGCCAAGCTTGTTGGAGAGCTCCTTGGGAGGCTTAGGTCACAGGGATATGTCTCTGTCTTCCCCCACAGAGGGGAATGATGGACGCCAGATTGCTTTCCTCGTGTCCAGTCCCTGGAACGGGAAGGAGAAGCCGAACATATGCAGGCATTTGTGTCGGAAATGGCTTTGGAACCCCAGATGCTCTGTTGGAAAGCTTGGGGGTCAGGGGGAGGGGGGCTCCGTCCAGATAGGGGACGCTGTGATAGTTGATTGCAAACTTTAATCCAGAGCAAACCAGCTTAACCACAAAAAAAGGGAGGAGTGGATTTGATTGGCTGCCTCTACTGGGAAGTTCAGAAGCCGTTTTAGCCTCAGGTTCTGTTTGATCCAGAGGCTCAAATGGGTATCGTCAGGACCTCGTGCATCCTGACTCCTGCCGTGTTGGAATCCCTCTCAGGTTCTATGTGGTGATGCCTAGCTTTACCTCCTTCCCATTCGGAGGTAAGTCGAAAAGGGGGCATCTCTTACCAGTTGCTCAGGCACCATTTCTGGAAGTCACCTGAGAGGACCAGCTGGCAGTCATGTACCCGTCTCTGAGCCCTATGCCTGGGGGAACGTGCATGCTGATCGGCCCAGGATGGGGCCCTCCCAAGTCACATGGTCCGAGCATGGGAAAGGAGTGGCTTCCCAAAGGAGAACCAGAGTGTTGTTTGTGGGGGACGGAGCATGGCTGAGTGGACAGTGCAGTCAGGACACAGACCCCAAGCCCTGAATGTGGGCAGGGCACCCAGAGGGCGGGAGGGGATGGCCCCCTTGGGCGCCTGGCCCCTGCTGGCTCAGCCCCTCCCTGCAGTGGGGAAGGGTATTGAGGGTGCAAGCAGGCTTGCTCCCAGGCTAAACAGGCCGGAGTCACAAGAATGGACCTTGAAATAGTGACAGAAATGAACTTAATTAGACCTAAGTAAGCCATTTGTCTCCAGGAAGTGACATTCAGTTTTCCCTGGAAGTCCCCAGATTAAGTGGTTCTGCAAAATGCCAGGGTGGAGGATGGATTTTTCAGTGTGGGGAGAAAAAAACAAACAAACAAACAGAAAGTCAATTCAATTATGGAAATTTGTGTCGAGCATCACCTAAGTGCCAGGCCCTATGCTAGGGGCTGTGGACACCCAGCCCTGAGGTTAAGGAGCACTTGGTGGGACGAGGGAGTAAGATGAGGCCCGCAGAGGCTCTAGTGCTGAGCAGGGAGGCCACCCGCTGGGGGTAAGGGGTGGCTTGTTCGGACAGAGCAGTAGGGGTAGGCTTCTTGGAGGAGGCGGTTGCATTGAGCCTGGAAAAATGGGTCAGGTTTACTGAGGCAGCCTGCCCTTGGGTCAGGGGTGCAAAATACCACCTGGGGTTACCCTGCCCAGCAGTTGGTACAGGTGAGCCTAGAGCATCGCTCACGGGTACATCCTGGAGCACGTCCCACGCTTCCCGGCGTTAGAGGTGGGGTGATGAAGCGGGGTGGCCTCTGGTTTGGCCTCCAAGTAAATCTGTGTACACGCCGTAGTTTAGGGGGGAGCGTGTAGGTGTGGTCAACGGGGGTCAACCATCCATGCCTACTGGTGACTCCGTATGGTGTATATGTATCTGTGTGCACACGCCTTGGTCTGCGTGTGTGAGTAGGCCCAGGTGTATGTCCATGTCAACATGCATACCCACATAAATGTGTATGTGTGTGTGTGTGTGCGTGTGCAGGTGTGTACAGCCTGGTGCACAGCGCTGTACCCGAGTGTCCCCGTGCCCATGTCTGGACCCATGTGGCTGTGTCCCTGCACATGCACCCAACGCAGTGGGCCACGCATCCATGTCTGTGTGTGTCCGCAGACCTGTGTGCACACCTGAGCCTGGGCGGGCCGGCAGCTGTGTCTACCTGTGTGCACACGTGTGTCTTTTGCACCCCGGGGCCTCCCAGGGCTCATCCGACTGCAGGAGCTCATCATGGCCCCGTCGAGGTACAACATCCGCCTGAAGATTCGCCAGCTCCCCCTTGACTCCGACGACTCGCGCCCCCTGCTCAAGGAGATGAAGCGGGGCCGGGAGTTCCGCATCATCTTCGACTGCAGCCACACCATGGCCGCCCAGATCCTCAAGCAGGTGCGTGAGTCCTGGCAGCTGGGGGGTTGGAGTGGATGGGGGGACCCGCCTGTCGCCCCCCCACCGCCCCTTCCCGCACGGAAGGTGCACAGTGTGTCCTCGGGGTCTGAGCCGGTGTGCGACTGGAATGACCCGGGGGTGAGCCCGCTGCCTGCCCAGAGGGGCCCGAGGCCGCCCAGGACATTCGGGGGAAGCACGGAGGGGCCCCGGGGTCACAGGAGCAGCCCAGGAGGGCCGCGCCGCCAGTTCACGGGAGCTCCCCGTAGCCCGCAGCACTTGGTGTTACTCTCCTGCTGCTGGGAGGTTTATTGAAGTCCCCGCACCATCTGCTCGACTTTGCAGCGACCGTGGGGGAGGAGAGCCGCTCTCGGTCCTGGATGGGCCTCCGCTCCTTTCCAGACACAGCCCCGCGTGGCATGCGGGGAGCCAGAGCAGCCCCCGCCAGCTCCCGGAGACATAAACAGCAAAATCGCCCACAGCCTCCTTTGAGGGTGCCACAGCCGAAACCCAAAACACTCACATTTGAGCCAGTGCCTGTGTAAAAGGCAATCGTATGGCCCCAGAAAGGGTCCCTGGTGAGCGAAGGCGGCATTCTGTGCAGCGCGGAGTCCCGACCTCGAGCTGGGGAGGAGGCGCACGGAGTGTGGGGTGGGGGGTAGGTGCTGAGCCCCCAGGATAGGAGCATTTTCAAGTCCTGGGCGGGGAGGGGGGTTCCAGGTCCCACCCTCCTCCAGTCGGGCCCAAGCCACCTGGCAGCCTGTGTCTTCCCCCAGGCTCCTTTGCACAGCGGCTAAATAACTCCTTGGGGGGTTTGAATCTTGCTTCTGCCGCTGGTGTTGGGGGACCAGCGTCATCCTCTCCTCCGTAGATGGAGCCAGTGATCCCTACCTCAGCCGTGATGGAGGATTCTGTTGAGATGAGGCAAGGGAAGAGTGTACCCCAGTGTCCGGTGCTCAGTCAGCCCTGGGTGTGGGCCGTCTTTAATGTCACTGTGGAGGAGGGACGCCTGGGGGGCTCAGCTGTTGAGCGTCTGCCTTTGGCTCAGGGCATGACCCCGGGATCCTGGGATCGAGTCCCGCATGGTCTCCCTGCAGGGAGCCTGCTTCTCCCTCTGCCTGTGTCTCTGCCTCTCTCTCTCTGTATCCCTCATGAATAAATAGACCTAGGCTCCCCACAAGTCCCTTACCCCGCCTTCCCGGGCGACTGCCAACTCTTCCCTTCTCTTCACCGCACCTATAACAGCCAGAGCCCTGGTGGGTCACACTGAGGAGTTACTGTGGGCTGGGTCCACGTAGCTCCTGCCACCCCGGCAGGTGGCAACGATGATCATGCCCAGTTTACAGGTGAGGATAGCTGAGGCTCCAGGGGAAAGGAAGGGGCCCAAGGTCATCCATCCCACATATGCCTGACTTGGAAACATCCAGGATTAAACCTGGAGACCTGCTGCTCCGCTAGACACACCGAACTCTCCTACCAAACACGTCTACTGACCGCGGCCTGGTCCCAACCTCGAATCACCTGCTGATGCGGGATGTGGATCCCCAAGAGGGCGAGAGAACGAGGGGCACTTTCCACGTGAACCTGACCCTGGGACATTTTTTCCTCCGGGGTACTTAGTGGGCCCGGCATTCGGAAGAACTCTGTAGACAATGCATTGTGGTCGTGAACGTTACAGGTGATAGGTTTCGGATAAAATACGTAAATGTACGTAATGCAGGCTTTGTGTTGGTGCACGGTCATAATTCCACAGCAGCTGTGCGGCCTGCTTGGTGGTCAGCTGGACCGGGGAGGCTGGGCTGGCTCCAACCCTCCTGCCCCCGAACCCCGGAGGCTCTGCCCCAGTGCAGCCTTTCTGGGCTTGGGGGGCAGGTGGAGGGTGCGCTTCCACACGGCTCTGTCTACAGCGAGCTCAGCTCAGTGGGGTCGGGGCACCGAGAAGGCAACCTGGGGCCCCAGACTGCAGGCCCAGAGACGCCCACTGAAAAGCCAGGGGACTGGGCCCAGCCTGGCCCTGCAAAATTTGGAATCTTTGCTTGCAGAGTATGGCCCCAGAGTCTGCATTTCTTTAAAAAAAAAAAAAAAAAAAGATTGTATTTATTTGAGAGAGAGAAAGAGCACAAGCAGAGGGAGACGCAGAGGGAAAGGGAGACCTGCAGACTCCTCGCTGAGCAGGGAGCCCGGCACGGGGGCTCGATCCCAGGACCCCCGGATTCTGACCTGAGCTGAAGGCAGATGCCTAAGGGACTGAGCCTCCCAGGCGCCCCAAGGTTCTGCATGTTAGTCCGTCCCAAGTGACTTGGCCCCAGTGTGAAGCCCACGGCTGCCTGGGGAGGTGGTCTCGGGGAACATCCCAGTCCAGGTGGCCAGCCTCCCCCGAGCCCCTGCCAGTCTGTCTGGTCCCCACCGCCGGGGTGCAGATGGGGAGGGGGCTTCTCGGGCACACTGTGCAGGCTGCTAATGCCCTGCTCTCCCGCAGGCCATGGCCATGGGCATGATGACCGAGTATTACCACTTCATCTTCACTACTCTGGTAACGTACCTCCGGGTCCTGGCACGGGTCGGGGTGGCGGGGGGGTGATGCCCTGGGAGCAAGGTCAGCTGGGTGGGGACAGCTGTGGAGATTCAGGCTGGCCGTGCTTCCGAAGGCTCTGGGCGTGGCCCCCAGCAAGGGCCCGGAGATGTCGTCTTTGTGGGCCACCCACTTTGAGAAATGCCATCACGTTGTGACCACGGGCGGGGACTCTAGGCCTGCGGGAGCAAACACAAGCCCCTCCGATCACTAGCCAGTCATTGAACCTCCCTGCCTCAGTTTCCTCGTCTGCAAAATGGCCACCATAGTGGCTCCTACCTCCTAGAATTGCCATGAGGGCTAAATGAGCTCAGAAAACAAAATGCTGTGAGCGGTGCCTGGTTGGTGTGAAGAGCTGTGCAAGTATTAGCTGCTCTGAGGATGCTGACCCTGGGCTCCCACCCACACGCTCCCCTGTGATGTCTCAGGCCCTCGCACAACAAAAGGAAATGCTGCTTTGGATTCCCGCAGCGTCGTGCTGAGGTCTGCCCACTGGCTGTCAGCTGGGCCAGCCCACTCAGGCTCCAGATGGGTCCTGTCCAAACTCGCAGAACATTCAGGGCCATTTAAACCCATTAGGATGATTAGTTGTGGCCTGAAATCAGCAGAGTAAAGAGATCCCTGTGCCAGAGGGACGCCACCGCCCAACCAACCACCCTGTCTTGGAGCCGACCCCTCTCGCACTTCCCTGGGGCCCCAGGTGGACTGTCCCACCCAGTCCAGCTTTGGGGCGAGTGGCGGCATCGCTGACCGTTCCTGGCACTGGAACAGGCTCCTGCCATCCTCGTCAGCCTCGCTTCCACCTGGCAGGCTTCCGCATCCCCTCGTCCATCTGACACCCAGGTAACACTCCTTCCCCAGCGCCCGGGCTCCGCTGAGTGTCTCATGACATTTGAGACAAGGAGGCAGATGCTTAAACAGGGCCTTGAGGGGTCAGTAGGAGTTCGCCAAGGAGAGAGAGGAAGAGCGTTCCACGCGGAGGGAAGAACATAAGCAAAGGCCAAGGGGCAAGCCCGCACCTTGGGGAGCTGGGCTGGGCTCGCTCTGGTTGCTAGAGCCAGTCGTAGTCTTCTGCTCCCAAACCCATGTTCGGTGGTCGCACGTAGTACCTGGAAATTGGCCATGGAAGGACTATCGGTGCCACCGAAGTTGGCAAATACTACAAATTTAACCTCCGCTCCCCCGAGAGCTGGTTACTAAGCATTTCCCAGCACAGCACTGCTAGTTCGCCACCCACTGTACCCTGTGCCCACAGCAGAGCTCAGCGCCCCCACCCCGTCCCCCGCACGTTCACCTGATCCAGAGCTCAGATCCGGGGACCTGCCAGGAGTCACGTGGGGAGAAAGGGGTCCTGGAAGCTGGTGACTGAAATCCAGCACCTTCTTCCCCAAGTCCCTTCCGGACTTCTGCCTCCCCAAGCTGACTTCTCCGCGTCACACTGTATCCTGGAAGGTCATTAGAGGCCGGAAGGTGAGGCCACCAGACCCCCCATGTTCCACCTCCGTGTGGAGTTGGGACCAGGGCAGAGGAGCAAGGCTGGGAAGGTACAGGGGGCCCATTCCAGGGGCCCCAGGCCCTGTCCCCGGCATGAGAGCCATGTCCACCCATCCTGGGCCCTTAGGGTGCTGAGACCAACTTCTAGGCCCTTAGCCCTGTGGCCTGGCATGACCATTCAGACAAGACTCCAAAGAGAGGGCACCTCCCTAGTGACCCCATGTTTCTTTCATTAATGCCATTGCCCTCCTGGGCTTAAGGTTAGAGGTCTTGGAGGGAGGCTCAGGGCAGGGTCCTAGGGCAGTGGGGCCTCCTTCAGCCCTAAAAGCATCCACTTCTCTTACTTTTTGATCTCCTTGATTCAAGCCATGTACTCACTCCCGGCAGCCACGTACAGATGCTCTCAAGGCCTCCGGCAGCGAGCTGGGCACCGGGGCAAGGGTATGTGTGTGTGTGCAGAGTGTGGGGTCCACACAAAGCTCTCCAGCTGGCAGGCTTCCTGGGTGCAGATAAGGATCGAGGAGGGTGTCCGGTTCACCTGTCCAGCTCCCGCGCCCAGAGAGTGCCTGGCATTCAGGAGGTGCTGCATTAGGGGCTGAATGAGTGAATGACCGGCATACAAAGTGGAAAGTAACCAGTGAAGTTATCGACACCCTTGTCATAGCAGCAGCTCAGACCGTGCGTGGACGCTGGTGCCAGCCTGCCTGAGTTAGAGTCAAGGTTCTTCTATTTTCCTGGGCCCGTGACTTCACCCCCCTGTGCCTCCTCTTCCCACCTACACGAGCCACAGAAACAGCGCTGCCTCCTAGCGTGGCTACGCTGAGCGAGCAGTAGGTCGAGGGCCTGGTGCTTATTATCTGAGTGCTACGTCCGTAAGGGTTCGGCGCATGAAGTGCCTCCTGTGTATTAAGCGGACTCCATCTCATCCGAAATTCAGAGCACCTCTCCAAGGGAGGTATGATCTCTTGGTTTTACGGGAAAGGAGAAACCAAGGCCCAGAACGGTCACCGAGCAAGAAGGGGGCCCAGCAGGGCAGGTGGGGGGGGGTGCCGGGAGCTGTCACGTGGAAAGCTGTGTGCGGTGCTGGCTGGGCTCCTCTGGCCGCACCCCGCAGCGCTGGTCCGGGGATGGTGATTGACACTAATGGGGGGAATGGAGGCTCCACAAATCTCAGCAGGGCCCACACCTCACAGGTTCCTAAGCCCTTTCTCCACATGGCTGGTTTTCCTCTTCATAGAGGAGGGGTTTCGCTCCCCGTCAATCGATGGGCACACCTGGGACCAGACAGGTTGCATGACTTGCCCAGAGTCTCACAGCCGGTCACGGGTAGAGAGGCGTTGGCTCCTGACTCCCGGTCTTGTGTGTGGCTGTTCCAGCCCACCGCCCGTCCCTCCCCGGGCCTCCCCGTGAGGGTCGGGGAGACTGGATCTGCACCCCCAGGGAGGCACACCCCCTGCACTACAAACAGTCCTGCATTTGCAGTTGAGGATGTGTGTATGCATCGGGGCGCGGGTCCCCCGGCGTATCTGTCCCCTCACCCCCCTGCCGACCGGGGCAGCAGCTCTGTCCCTCAGGCCCCTCCACTCCAGCCCTTGTCTGGCTCCGGCTCCGGCTTCAGGATCCTCCTTCCAGTCCTGTTGGCTTCAGAGTCCACCTCGTGATCCTGCCTCTCTCTGTCCATTGGCCAGTGGAGGCTGCGTTTCGGAGGGCCGCGGCGTTTGGCACGGATCTCCTTCCCTTTAGGAAACTTGCATCACCAACTCTTCGCCTCTGAGAAAATTCTCGAAACTTGCCTCTTCCACGCAGAAGACAGTTTAATTACCCCAGCGGCCACTATCTGTTGCAGCCAGCTTCGAGCCGTTCCCAGATAACCCCGCGTTAATCAGCCCCAGCTGAGCCCCTGGTCCGTGTCGTGTGTAGGTAGAAGCCTGGAGGTGAAAAAAGAATTATAATAAATTAATAGATAAGCAATCACAATTAATGCCACTTCCCGGCAATAACAGTTATATCATGGGAAAGATATTTTCATCTGTCATTCCTTAAGGCAATGTTTTCCGAGCTTCAGCTTCTACCCATCAGACCCATGGGGTGCTAATGAATTAGTCTATTATGTTATGCTGAATGTTTCTAAAAGGTCCCTCGTCGATACTGAATTCAGCGTGTCAACATTTGGCATCGAGAACAGCAACTTTTTGCCAAGCCACAAGGTTGTGCACAGTTCACTGTGCACAGCGCTGGGGGGGTCTCGGCCCGGGGCGGTTTGGACACGGGATTGGAGCTGGACCAAGAGGCCTCTTGGGCAGCTCCCCGGTCTTCGCCACCCTCGCGTCCCGGGAGTGGGGACACTTGGTGCCGCAAACCCTACGCTCTGTGCACCCGGGCTCGGCGTGACGGGGAGGGAGGGGACCCCAGCCGTCAGGCCCGAGCTCGCCACTGTGTGAGCGTCTGCAGACCCAGTGCTCCATCTGGGGCCTGGAAGGGCTGGTGTCTGCAGCCCCTGGACCCTCCACCCGGACCAGAGATGCCACCCCTCCCAGAGTCTGGTCGGCCTCAGGTCCCAGAGGATGGTGAACCGAGGCACAGACGCCCTGGGCAGGCTGATGCTTTGGCATCCTCTGGGCCTCATGTATCCATGCAGTCAGCGCTGCATGGGAAGGGGCTGTGCCCCGTGCGGGGGCGGCTTGAGCCTGGCACCCCTCTCCCCCACCCCCCGGAGGGCGCAGAGGTCAGCTTCTCTTCCATGACCCCCGCAGTTAGCTCTGGCCCCAAACTCACAGTCTCCAATTCTGCAAAACAAACTGCCCGACCTCCCCTTACCTGCCTTCATGGAAGGTGAGCTGTCCCCTTACGGGTCCCACTCTCCCCCCAGGCAGTTTACCCAACCCTGCCTCCAGCATCCCCGGAGAGGAGGATGGGAAACACCAGTCTCCCGGCCCACGCCCTTCCCAGTGCCATTTAGCTGCCCCCAGAGGGCGACTCGGCTGGCTGACCCTTCCTCTTTCCACGTTGGATGGCAGGAGTATTTGGCTCAGGGGCTCCTGGGGGGAGACAGACATTATGAGTTGTTATCAGAGGGGTGAGAGCCAAGAGGTCCCAAGATAAGAGCAGAAGCACCCACAACCCACCCTGTTGTGCGTGCGTAAAGGAGCAGTCAGGGGAGGCTTCCCGGAAGAGGTGCCACTTGAATCGGATCTCAGAAAATAGCCCACACAAGAAGGTTGAGAAGAGAGACCTCCCGGCCACAGGAGAGAACATCTGCACAAATGCTGGCATGGGGGGGATGAGGGGCTGCACGGTGGGGTCAGTGGTCAGCGAGGAGGGGGGAAGGGAAACAAAGGTGGTTTGGTTTCCGAAACAACAAACGTGGGGGAGGGTGGGAGGACAAGTGGGGCGGGAGGGGCGGAGAGCTTTGTAAGCTAACTAAGGACCTTGGAGTCTGAGAAGGCAGTAAGGATCCAGGAACACCGGAGGGACGGGCTGGGATTGATCCTTCCGAAAGGCCCCTCTGAATGCTGTGTGGACGGAGGGAGAGGGAGGTGCTCGGGAGCCCGACTGCCTGGATTGGACTCCCTTGCTCTCCAGCCATGAAGCCTAGACCTCTCTGGGACTCAGTTCCTTCCCCCAAAATGGGGTGATAAGGACGCCCTCCTGGGGCAGGGTGGAAATGAGAACTCCGGGGGTTAGTGCACGGAGGGCACCTGGAACACGGCCCGCTGCTCTAACGTTTGTGGGTGCTCGTAGCTACTAGCTCAGGGTGATTGTTTCTGTGCCGCCCCGACGGGTGAGGCAGGAAGGCCCTGACACCCAGGAACGTCCCTGGGGCTGCATCCCGTGGCTGTCACTACCTGCTGCCTCAGGGGGCAGAAGACAAGTATTTGTCAGATGCTTACCTGGCATGGGCCATGCACCCGAAGTGTCCTGCACACAACCACGACCCCGTTCCTTCCTCATGACAACCCCACCTCCTAGGTCCCGTGGTCATCATCGCCGACACTTGGCAGCCAAACCCACCCAGGTAGGGAGGGTAGGTGCGCCCGAAACCCAGATGGCCTGGCCTCGCGGGCTGTCTCCCGTGCCCGTGGCCCGTGCTCAGGACGGGGCTGCAGGGGACAGAGGCACCCCCAACCTCCACCGCTCTCTGCACGCCTGCCCCCAGCGAGGTCCCATCGGGAACAATGACCTAGGTGAGGGGCTTCTCAGGTCACAGGGTTGCCAGGCCAGGCCCCCAGACTCTCTGCGGCCTCTACATCCCCCCCCCCCCAGAAAAGCTCCAAAGACAGTTGTGATGTGTATCATGTGTTTGGTAACCCCTGGGGACCTAAGAGCATCGGAGTTTTTGAATAAGACAGATGGTGGTGTACAACCGGCTCTCCATGTGCACGGGAGGGAAACCCTGGATTTGCGGTGCTTCTGATTCCCACGGGGAAATGCTCCCACCACGGCCGGGGTCAGGCTGCCAATGTGAGGTCGCGGGTCGCAAAGAGCTGAGAAGTGCTAACGGTTGGCTCCCTCAGGCCAGCGCAAGCCAGCTGCAGCATACCATCGAAACAGCCCTGGGTTCAAATCCTGCTCTGCCTTTTAGCTTTATGGCCTTGGGAGAGTCACCTACCTCATGCCTGCACCCCCGTTTCCTCACCTGCAAGAGGTCACCACCATTTAAGCAGCTACTTTGCAGGGGTGTCAGGATGGGGTGGTGGTGCCCACCCTCCACTCCCCACTGACACTGGGCCAGGCCACCCTTTGGCTCATCTTGCCAAAGACCCTACCTCCTGCTCCCCGCCCCAGCCCCTTGCCCATCCCAAAGTCTGGGCCTAGAATCAGCGCCCTATGTGGTTGGGCAAAGCTAGGACTAAATTTTCTTGCCCGGGGTTCAAGTCTCCTCCAGATCTCTCCCCGACATCCTACTTCCTGAACCTTCGAAGAGGAAGCCAACACCGTGCCTTCCAGAAAGGGCCCATTTCGGGGGTGCAGGAGCCGTTTAGCGTCAATTAGGAACATCCGAGAGACCAAATGAAGTCAGCGCCACACAGAAGAGCTGCTCCTTGGGCTCATGGTTCCTTGATCCACCATCGAGTTAACCAGAGCTTGGGGCGTGATGGCCTGGGTCCCATGCCGGATGACTGCAGCCATGCAGAGAAAAGTATGGCCCACGGGGAGGCGGGGGGTTGCCATTCTCTCCCAGGAAAGAAGATGTGGACCAGGGGCCAGGACAGAAGGCAGCTGGACAAGGGTGGAGCCAGGGGAAGAAGACACAGTTGCCCAGGAGGACCTTAGGACTCCTGTTTCCCCTCCTGGGAGGAAGGGAGCAATCTAGATTATCATAGTGTGTTTTGCAGAAAGTGAAGCGTCATCCACGCAAATATAGGATGAGCACGTATCAAAGATGAAGTCCATTCGCTAACAAGGGAACCAGTAGGGTGGCAATCAGAGAGCTTTTGGGGGATCGGGTTTTTATATGGAGGGAGATGCACAGAGTCAGGCTGCTCGGCTAGTCACAAAATGCATTCCTGTCCTGCAAGGGCAACAAACCACAGCGTCCGGGATTGTCTTCTCAAGGGGCAGACAGCTCCAGGGTAACCCAGAGCCCGGGGCCAGTAGCTGACCGTGGCCTCCATGCCCGGCAGGCCTGGGCCGGGATGCTTCCACACGGCCCGGAAAGGACACGGTGATCACCTTCTGCCTTAATTACAAGCTTGGGGAGCTTTTCTTGACAAGACGGAGCTCTCCCCTACGTCCCCACCACTGTCCCTTCCCCTTAGCCTAGCTCCCCGGCTTCTCCCCTGCACCCCCACCCCATCACTCTCTGCCTCCATGCCGCCCCCGCCCTGCTCACCTCACCCCAGAGCTGGAGCTGCAGATCACCTGAAGCTCTGCCGCCCCACGCGTTAAGGCCTGGGGTGGGGGGCCCACTTATTACATCAGACGGGTGAGGCCTGGCCGTGAACAGATGGGCTGCCTGGGAGTCAGCCGCCCCGAGGAGGCAGGGCGTGAGGAAGCCTGGCTGGAGATGTAGGAGGTGAGCGGAGAGAAGAAGGCAGCGGTATTCCTGGAGTCCCAAGCAGAAAGACTATTTATTATTATTATTATTATTGAATTATCACCGACCTGCAATGCTATATTCATTCCGGGGGTGCAGCATAGCGAATCCATATTTTTACGCATTTACGAAGCGATCGCCCCAGAAGCTGTGGTTATCATCGGTCACCAGTGACTGCCCCCTTGTTGACTGCATTCCCTAAGCTGCACCTTACCTCCCCGGGACTGACTTATTTTATAACTGGAAGTTTGTACCTCTCAATCCCCTTGACCTGTTTTGCCCATCCTCCCACCCCTCTCCCTCCAGTTTGCTCGTGTGTTGTCTGTTTTGTTTTTGAGGTTCCACGTATAAGTGAAATCAAGCGGTATTTGTCTTTCTCTGTCTGACTTCACTTCGCATAACGCCCCCGGGGCCTCGCCACGGTGTCCTAGAGGGCAGGATCTCGTTCTACTCCTCTGTGTGTAGACGCCACACCTCCTTGACCCATTCATCTATCGATGGACACGTCCATGGCTTCCCTCTCTTGGCTGTTGCAAGTAATGCCGTAGTGAACCTAGGAGTGCACCGATGTTTTCAGATCAGTTTTTGTTTGTTTGTTTGTTTTTTGGTTTCTTTAGATGAATACCCAGAAGTGGAATTGCTGGGTCCTAGGGTAGCTCTATTTTTAATTTTTTGAGGGTCCCCCACAGCAGGTCCACCGGTTTGCATCCCCACCAACAGGGCGCGAGGGTTCTCTTTTCTCCACGTCCTCGCCAACACCTGTTGGCTTCTTTCTGATTGTGCCATTCTGACAGGCGTGAGGTGGTCGCGACTCGTGGTTTTGACGGGCATTTCCCCAATGATGAGTGACGTGGAGCGTCTTTTCAAGTACCTCTCCCTTTCAGCCCGTTCATTTCTCTGATGGTTCCTTTCACGGTGCAAAAGCTAGAAAAGAGTATTTTAGAATAGCCTCTTGCAGGGGGCGGGGGATAAAATAACTGCCTTCAGCTTCCCTCAGGGTAACTTGGAGAAGCCCAGACCCAGAGCTCTTGGTCCCCCGCCGTTGGAAATGACCGTGGTGACCATTACCAAGCTCCTTTGATGTTCTGGGCTGGGCCTTGGGTTCTGGGCTGCACCAGGTCCCATAAAGGAGGCACGATCCCCATTTTGTAGACGAAGAAACTGGCTGAGCCCCTTGCCGGAGGTCCGGCAGTGAGTACATGAGGTCAGCCACCAGGCAGAGGCAGTTCCAGTCAAGCCCACGTCCGGTGCTCAGGCAGGTGCTCCATCACCCGCAGGCCTCCCCTCCTGCAGGGCAGGGCTCTGCAGCCTTGGGCTCTGGGCGCTGGGAGAAGGGAGTGTGGGGCCGCGGTGGCCAGGGTGAGAGGTGGCTGGAGCTTACAGCAGGCCACACCTTTATTTACTGGAACCTCTTTCTGTCAAGGATCTGTATGCATTAGACCTGGAGCCCTACCGCTACTCTGGGGTGAACCTCACGGGGTTCCGGATCCTCAACGTGGACAATCCCCATGTCTCGGCCATCGTGGAGAAGTGGTCCATGGAGCGGCTGCAGGCGGCTCCCCGGGCAGAGTCCGGCCTGTTGGATGGAGTGATGATGGTATTTCAGCCAGGGGCCAGAGCCAGGGCCTCCCTTCCTCTCCCCCAGCCCCAACCCCTGCTCCATTCCCTCTTCTTTTTTTTTTTTTAAGATTTTTATTTTTTTATTCATGAAAGACACAGAGAGAGAAAGGCAGAGATGTAGGCAGAGGGAGAAGCAGGCTCCAGGCAGGGAGCCTGATGTGGGACTTGATCCTGAGACCACGGATCACGCCCTGAGCCAGGGGCAGGTGCTCAACCGCTGAGCCACCCAGGTGTCCCTCCATTCCCTCTTCTATCCTCTCTTCTCTCCTCCCTCCCTATCTCTTTCTTCCCTTGCACCACTTCCCCTCCTAAAACCTGCCCTGTATATCATCAGCCAGACCTTAGGAACACAAGGAGTCAGACAGTCCCATCCCAGGGTGGTAAGGGAGGCTTGTAAGCACAGGGACGAGGACATGGGGCCCTGGGCACAAAGGACTTGGAGCTGTGACCAGCTGGAGCCTAGGGAGGCAGGAAAGGAGAAGGTGTGAATGGGGCCCAGGAGCAGCAGGAGTGATGGAATGAGGTAGGAGAGTCTGGAAGGAGAAGGTCTGAGCTACAGAGAGGATTGGAGTTGGGTGTTAGAAGAACAGGGATGCTCATGCAAGTCTGGCCTTCACTGGGGGCATGGATGGGGTCACTGGGGCCTTTCCCCAGTCAGGACCCCAAGTGCCTGGTCAGGGAAGGGAAAGGGGACAGAGCAGCTCGGGTCAAGGGCATTCGGGCTTTGGGAGGTGCTCTCAGGCAGGCCCTGTCCCTCCCCTCCAGACCGATGCGGCCTTACTGTACGACGCCGTCCACATCGTGTCCGTGTGCTACCAGCGGGCACCCCAGATGACCGTGAACTCCCTGCAGTGCCATCGGCACAAGGCCTGGCGCTTTGGCGGCCGCTTCATGAACTTCATCAAGGAGGTGAGTGCTCCCCTGCAACCCCCTATAGCCCCCCAAGGCCACCTCCCCTGGGGGTCTTTCGTGTTGCAGAGCAAAGACACAGGTGTGGTGTCAGGAGGACTCGATTTCCAGGCCACACAAACCTGGGCACATTGGTTTGCATGTCCCAGCCTCAGTGTTCTTGGGCAAAAATGACCTGGACAGGACCAGTCTTACAGGGTGATTGGGAAGCTAAGGTCATGGCACGTGGGAGGTTCTCCGTGGGTGCTCAGCAGTGTCAACAGGACCTGCCTGGGCTTTCCAGTGCAATGAGGGTCTCTGCCTCTGGCTGTGTGGCCCTGGGCAAGCTAGAGAAACTGGCTGAGCCGTGATGGTCTCATCTGCAAAAGGGGGTATGAAGCATGCCCCCCAGAGGGATACCAGAAAGCTGAGATGAGACGCCGTGTAGGGAAGGGGCTCAGGGCAGGTGCAGGGCAGAGGAGGCTGGCTGGATAATCAGCCCTCCAAACTCCTCTTCATGTCCTGGGCCCCCCGGCCTGGCTCTGCTGGCACCAAGGCAGCTGTGAAGGTGTCCCATCCGTGGGGCTGCTTCAGGGGATCCAGAGAGCAGAAATCTGTCCTGCTGCAAGATGACCATTGGTACTCGCGATGCCAACTGGTAATTCTGAAGGACCCTCCATCGTCATTGCCCTTGTAAGCTCTGGATTGCAGTTCATGGTTCCCGTTTTACGGGTGGGGAAGCTAAGGCCAAGGCCAAGCAAGCATCCTGCCTGCCTCACAATTAGCTAGGTGACTTTGGGTGAGAGGATTAACATTTTGATCCTCAGTTTCCTTGACTGTAAAGTGGGCATAAAGAGTACTTGCCTCGGTGTCGTTGAGGAGACGGTGTGCAAACTGTACACAGAGCATCTAGCCCAGCACATGGGCAGAGTCAAATCCCGGTAAATGGTGGATGAAGAAGGCTCGGGGAGCAGATCCAGGCAGGGTGACCCTGGGTCGGAGGGAGTGACATGTCCGGGCAGCTCCAGGTGCAGTCGAGGGAAGCCCCCGAGGGGGGTTGTAGCAGCCACACTGGACCAGAAGAGGGGCAGGCTGCCACGAGCCCTCGTTCGGCTATTCAGCAGCTAGTTGTGTGGGCCTGCTGGGTGCCAGGCACCGAGCTGTGCCCCGGGATCCAATGGGGCTGAGACGAACGATCGCCTGCGTGCGCAGAGCTCACAGCCCGGGGAGGGAGCAGACACGAGCCGAGTCCTGGCATCAGGAATGCAATCCCACGGGCAAAGGAAGGCAGCTGCAGGAGAGTGACAAACGCAGGAACCCACCAGCGTACAGTCAGCAGGCAGGGCAGCTTTCCCACAGGTGCCCGGTTCACCGTCCTGCTTGGGAACGGGGCTGAAAGGAGTGGGGATGGGGCACAGGACCATGGAGCTCGTCTGCCTCTCCCAGCGGGGCGGCTTCACGTGTGTCCGAGACGTCCCCGGGTGTCCGTGTCCTCACCTGGCAAACGTCATCCCACCGTGGTGGTGAGGGAGGCATGAAGCCCTTGGCACCAGCTCCCCTCACATCTGGAAGGGGCTCCATCCAGGGTCAGGTATGTAGGTAGGAGAGCATCGGGATGGTCCCTTCTCCTCCTGCCCCTCAAAACTACAGAGGAAGGCTGCTTGTCCAGTGCCCTGAGCAGGTCTGGTTAGCCTGGGAGAGCACCCGCTGGTTCTCGGGGAGCCCTGGGGCCTGACGCCTAACCCCCTGTGCCCCCTCCATCCACAGGCCTCTGCCTGAGTGGCCACAGGCCCCTGGGTGGGGGTCAGTGACCCAAGCCACAACCCTGGGACCTTATGAGCTGCACAAAAATGCCTTCGAAGCTTGACCCACATGTTAGCAGTGTGATCTTAGACCAGCTGCTGAACCTCTCTGTGCCTCCGGTCCGACTCTACTCTGGAGATTTTTCCTGGGGTTGTTGGCAGGAGGAAGCGAGTTAGGGTGTGTGTGGAGCGCTTAGGCCAGAGCCCGGCACAGAGCGGACGCTCGACAGGGTGGCTGCTGTTCCTGTTGTTTGTGTCGTCACCACTGCCCTCCCCGGGGCTTCTTGTTCCATGATGGGTTTCCAGCTAACGAGGATCTCTGGGCCACATGGCTTCTGGGGGCCCCCACTCTGCTTTCCCTGCACCCCTTGGAATTTTTGAGGCTCAGTGGTGAAGGGCGGTGGAGACGGAGGCCCGGAGCAGCCACGTGGCTTGCCCGCAGTGCCGCGGCTGCCCGAGACCGGGACCCAAGGGCCCCCGCCTGAGCCCAGCACCCGTCTTCCCTCAGACCATTTCCAAGTCGCCCGCCTCCCCCTCTGACTGCATGACAGTAAATCATTTTAAAGACTTGGCATTTCCGAGAGGAGCTGGGAAATACCAGGCCGGAGTTCAGAGCGTGTGAAGCATCTTTCATTTAGCGAGTCTTGAGCGGTGGCTGGAAGGGGCGGGCAGGCCGGGAAATGTCACGGGGAGGAGCTGCCGGCGCTCCCTGCCCCTGCCCGGCCCTGCCCGCCCTCCCCGCCCGCCCGCAGGCAGTCGGTGCCCCTGCTGGCATTTAATCCCTCTGTAGCTGACAAGGGGGAAGGCTTCGCTGAGTGCAGGTCTGAAGGCACCTGCTGTGATTTCCCCTGGGGGCTCGGAGGGAGCCTGAGGGTGCAGAGGAGGGGGAGCCAGCCTGGGGGGTCGGGGGGAGCTGAGCTTCTCTGTGAAGCCATGAACAGTGGTCTTCACCTTCTCTGATCTTTGCATCCCTGGCCCCAGCCCCGTGTCCAGCCCCCAGGCTCTAGAAGCCTCCCCCGCAGGACTTGGGCACAGTGACCCGAAGCTCCTCAACGCCATCCCTGCAGACCAGAGTTGTGTCCTACAGATGACTGATGGCTCAGTCCCCCTCTGAGCTTCGGTGTCTCCTCTAATAAAATGGGGGTGACAGCGACACCCACCTGGGCAGGATCGTGATGAGACAAAACCAGTGCATTCGGGGAAGGAGGTTAGCCCGCTATGACAGGTCTCTATGGAGGCCTCGGGCCCTGGCCCGGTGACCAGCCCTCCTCCCATCCAAGTGCCAGCCCGGGGGCTTCCAAGGGGAGCCCCGTGGAAGGAAACAACCAAGGGGAAATGAGGGGATGTACCGCTTACTCGGGATGTGTGCGCGGCACTCGCTAAGCATGTGATACATTTTCTTTTAACACCTAGGTAATGGGTCATCTTCCCCTTCCCGAAGCTCGGAGAGATTAGGGCTCATCCCGTCCAACTCGTTTTAGGGCCTCCTGGACTGCTTCCAGGCCCTGCCCTCTGCCCGAGTTAGTGTACCAGGTCCTACCCCTATACCTGAGTTAGTGTACCAGGCCCCACCCCTCTGCCTGAGTTAGTGTACCAGGCCCCACCCCTCTGCCTGAGTTAGTGTACCACACCCTGCCCCTCTGCCCAAGTTAGTGTACCAGGCTTCTCCTCTGCACACACTGTGATGTCTTCCAGCTGCCCAAGTGCTTGGAGAAGCCCACGGCTTTTACTCTGGCCTCCAGGGATCCATGATCCTGTGAACTTGGATGTCACCTTGTGAGCGGGAGCATAAGTGTCAGGGATGCTCAGCTAGGGAAAGGCCCTGGAACCCTTCTCAGAACCTAAGGGGCATCATGACCCCGGTGTGGTTAATGACGCTCAGGCCTTCCCCTGCCCCACAGGCCCAGTGGGCTGTGTGAGCTCCAGGTTTTCTCCTGTCCTCCAGCCCCCAGCCTTTCCTGGTTACCAAGGACTCCCGGATATATGGGTTTGTCCTCCAAGACGCAGAAAGCCTGTGGCATTTTAGGCATTTACCTGTGTGCTCACAGCCTCCTACCTCCACGGAGAAGGGAGAGAGAGGAGAGAGGGAGAGAGAGGCTCCAGCCTGGGTGGTGGGGCCCTGGGACCCGAGGGGCAGTGTGGAGCTCTCATCCACCCTGTGAGCTTGGGCGAAGTGCCTGCCTCCTCCTCTGTAAGATGGGAATCCTGACCTCACCTGGCCCACCTGCCGGGGCTGTGGGTTACCCGCCCTGAGCAGCGGGAAGTACTTTGTAGGCATCCCCTGGGCCCACAGGAAGGCTATTTTCTAGAACAGAGTCAGCAAACCTTTTCTGTTAGGGGCTGGATAGTAAACATTTAGGCTTTGTTGGCCAGATGGTCTCTTTGTGACTATTCAGGCCTGCCCGTGGCTGCGCCAAAGCAGCCAAAGACCATGAGTAAACACACGGGTGTGGCTGTGCTCTAATCAACTGTTCACAAAAACAGGCGGCGGGGGAACGTGGGCCGCCAGCCACGGTTTGCCCACCGCTGAGCTAGAAGAGTGGGGCTTCTCTCAGCTTGGGTCCCGCGTGCGCTCTGGACCTCTGCGTCTCTGTGTTGATGTCGTTGAGGGCAATAAGAGATCACAGAAGCTCCCATTGGTCCAGGGCTCGGGCTGTACGTACCGCCCGCTGTCCGAAGTATCTTGCGGGACTTCTCTCATTCCACCCTCATGGCATTTTGGTCCTGTTAGGATTTCCGCCTTGGAGATGAGGAACCCGAGGCAGAGGGGCGAAGTGGAGTCCCCGAGTTCACACAGCTCACTGCAGTCGGACCCGGCATTCTGACCCCTGTGTGCTTAACCGTGACCCCGTGGGGCTGGAGCCCCGGGGGCAGTGGGGGTGGCTTCTCTGCCTCCTAGGGCTCTACCCCAAGCCTCAGGCCTTCCAGCCAGGGCCGGCTTGGCCTCTTGCCTTTTCTGCCTCCATGCGGCTCTTGCCTGCCCCAAGCTGCCCGCCTGCCTCCTTGCCCCTCTCTGGGGACCCGACACGGGCTCCCCCCTCCTCGTCGCTTCAAGGCGGGGGCTCATTTGAGTGCATCTGAGATCGATGTTGTACACGAGAAGGTGCAAATGTAAAGCTGGCTAAAGAGCATAATAGAATTTATGGAAATCGCTGGCTCGCACCACAGCCCGAGCAATGATGGAGGTGATTATTAATTAATCATGGTCTTGGGGGAACAGTATCGGTGCAAAGAGTAATTAAAATGAAGCATTGTACAGTTGTACTGAATGATGATTTATGAGCCCGAGGAATTGCCGCTCTCCCCTCTCCCTTCCGGCAGGCTCAGTGGGAAGGATTAACTGGACGGATCGTCTTCAACAAAACCAGTGGCTTACGGACGGATTTTGATCTGGACATCATCAGCCTGAAGGAGGATGGCCTGGAGAAGGTGCGCGGGAGGGAGGAGGTGCTCAGGAGAGGGAGGGACGAGACCGTGGGGGTTTGATGGGACCCGGTGTGGCCTGGGCCTGGGCCCTTCGGAGAATGTGACGGGGCGGGCAGGCTGGAGGGGTGCAGACCCCAGCGGCCCGGCTGTGGCGGACACCCCAGCTGTCGCCCCGTGAGCGAGGGCCACCGGGGAGGCTTAACCTGGGAAAAGTAACGAAAGGCTCGGGGTGCAGACGGACAGACCTGACTTTGGGTAAGAGAAACTCTACCCACCAGGGGGTGCCTACCTGGGGAGTAGTGAGCTCACTGTCACTGGGGGCGTTTAAGCAAAGATTAAGCAACGTGATTGGTTGTCTGGGAACCGGAGTTGGCTCTTATCTTTGGAGAGATGTTGAAGCACATGGGTTCTGAATTTCCCACCCTTGGTTTCTAAGGCCTCAATGATTCCAGGGGGGTGGACCTCCATGTGGCCACCATCAAGTATTTGTCATGAGGCCACTTCTGCTCTCTGGAAACTGTCAATGTATCCTGCTGGGCTGAGGAGGACACTCAGCATGAGCCCCTAATTCTCCACGTTCCTGGGACCTTGGGGCCAGGGGCTCGGCCACCCCACCTCGCACCAGGGCATCTGTCCAGCCCGGGGGTGGGGTGTACAAAGTGCAAGGAGCAAAGCCAGGAGGGGAAGGGGCCGGCTCTGATGCTCTGATGCGCTGGGCCTTCAGGATGCCTTGATTACTACTCTCCTGTCCACCCGTCTGCCCTGGGTCAGGCCTCTCCCTTGGGTGATTTTAGCACCCAGCTCTGGCTTCTCCACCCCACTTCGTGAGCCTCCGGCCATCCTGAGTGTACACACACACACACAGCCTCCCAAAGCCCAGCTCTGCCCTGCTCCGTGGTCCCCCGGTGCCAAGTTAAGCTCCAGCCTCTCCCCTGGGCCTTTATGGCCCTCCAAGAATGAACCCACCCTACCTCTCCAGTGCCCCCAAAACATTCCCCAGGGCCCAGTCACCCCCACTCCCGCTGGCCCGTCCTTTGCCCACATGGTGGGCATGGTGCCCTGGTTGTAGGCGTGGCCTCTGTCCCCCACGTTCACCCCCTCAGGCACACGCCTGGCTCTGGCTGAGTTGTACCTTGAGGCCAAGTTGACTTTTCTCTCTTCTGAGTTTCCCTCAGGCTCCTGGGGACCCCCAGACAGGGGTGGCCAGAGAAACCCCGCCTTTCCTCTGCCACATGTGTCTGCTAGGGACAGAGGCTGTGGCCTGTGCTCCTAAGATCAAGGATACCAGTTGGCCCAGCCTGCTCACACTGCGAGTCCTCATGGAGCAGTCTCCCGGCCACTGCTTAAACCCCGGCAGTGCTGGGGGGCCCTTCCTCCTCCTCCAGGGAGACTGCAATGGTTTTCGCTCGAGTGGTATCTCATTTTTACTCTCACCTGTCCGTCTCTGGGGATGACCTAAAATTCTGAGGATGGCAGTTAGCTGCCCACTCGGATGCACACAGCAGACGTCGGTAGAGGCTCGGGTGAGCGCTCTCCATCTGAGCTTCCACAGCATCCTTCTTCCCAGGACAGAGTGACTGTAGCTAACACCCAAGGAAAGCCCACCCACCGCACCAGGACGAAGGCTGACCTGCGCCCTCCAGGGGTTCCTGCTCTCAGCCACCTGGCACGGGGGGGCATTACAGCCTCTGCAGGGCTGGGGCCTCCTCCTCGGTCCTAATTGTTCGCACATCCCCCGGGGCACCTGGTGCCTAGCAGGCCATGCATTTGGAAGTCCACATAGGCTTGCTGGGGCCGGGGATCCAGCTGCTCAGGAACCGCTGGACAGGTGTGCTGCTAGGGACCCTTGTGCCCTCCGCCCACTTGAGACAAGAGCCTCTTTGACGCGGCCTGCGTGTCTCTCCTCTGGGCTCTGGGGAGGGGTCTGCACAGATAGAAATCCTGCCTGGAGAGGGTGCTAAGCCCAAACACAGCCACCCTGCCTCTCGTATCATGGCTTCTGTTTGCTAAGCCGGGTCGCAGCTGATCCCGCCAGCTCCCGCCGGTGGCTCTGGGAGGATTAGGGCCGAATTACCCAGGCATAATTACACGGCTCCCTGCTATCTGCTCCGCGCAGCTCTCTGAATGGGATGTTTGCACTCGGCCTCTCTGTTTAATTGATTAAGTTTCCTGAGTGCCCCTCTGCCTCCCCCCCCCCAGCTTGGCCAAGGACAGAATGGGCCTGCCAGCACCTTCCTTGAGGGGGAGGACCTGAGAGGGGGTGGAGCAGGGCAGAGTGGGGCCCAGGGGGTTAGAAGGATTGGTGAACTCCGTCTTCCCCGGCCTCTTCCAGCCTCGGGCCTGGTAGCAGCAAGGGCACTGGGAGGACACAGATGATGCCACCTTGGCCGCCACGTCGGCCCACTTTAGAAGCACCACCACAAAGCTACCTGCCTTCCAGCCCAGCGGCCACCAGGCCTGCAGTGAGGGTCTCTGCTCTGGGCTGCCACCCCCGAAACAGCTACAAAGACCAGCTCCTGCCCAGCCTGCCTTCCTGCGTGTGAACACGCCTCATCAGCTGTTAACCCGTTCTGCAAATTTATTATTTTTTAAGACTTTATTTATTTATTCATGAGAGACACAGAGGGAGAGGCAGAGGGAGAAGCAGGCACCCCACGGGGAGATCCCAATGCAGGACTCGATCCCGGGACCCCGGGGTCATGCCCTGAGCTGAAGGCAGATGCTCAATGACTGAGCCACCCAGGCACTCCCCACAAATGTTCAATTGTGGCCTTCTCCAGGCCCTGCCCTCTGCTGCGGAGGGTGGGTGGCCCCAGGGAGGAGGCACCAAGCGGGACCCAGTGACTGAGCAGCTGGGTGATGGGCATCTTCCCCGGGAAGGGGGAGGCCCAGCAGGCCCAAATCGCCTCTGCCCCAAGACCCTTGGTTTCCTAGTGTTTCTGCTCTGCTCCTGGTGGGGCTGAGGTCCCTGGGCTGTCTTTGCACTCACCTCCTCTGCAAGTTCCCTGCCTGTTGTGCGGAGGTGGCCAGCGAGGCGGGTGGTGGCCATCCTGGGAGACTCGACACCTTGAGAGCCGCCTCCGAGATGAAGAAAGGTGGCGGGGCTGTCAGAAAGGTCAGCCTGCAGCACGTTGGCCATGATGACGGTGCTCCCAGGAAGGAGAACGAGTCGATGGCCTTGTTGGTGTGGAGGAAGGACGGAAAGACGGGGGGTTCACCCTTGTTCTTCATCTGTCTGTCCATCCAGGTCGGTGTGTGGAGTCCCGCGGAGGGACTCAACATCACGGAGGTCGCCAAAGGCCGAGGCCCTAATGTCACTGACTCTCTGACAAACCGGTCCCTCATCGTCACCACCGTGCTGGTAAGAGCCTGCAGCCCCCGTGGGAGAGACTATGTGGGCCGGGCATGGGCAGGAGGGACCCCACCCAGCACAGATGGGGCACCTCTCAGGGCTACTGCGAGGCTGGAAGATGGGGTGGGGGTGGAAACTCGGGGGATCCCTCAGCAAGCCCTCGGTCATTGGAACGCAGCAACTGTTCATGGTCACAGGCCAAAGACCCCAGGGGGTGGCTGTTGGTGACCTCTTCCCCAAACCACAGTGAGCTGGTCCTCAAGACCTGCTTGGAAGCCCATCCGCAGAGGCCTGTGGGTTTGCAACCCCCACCTCCCCCATCCCGGAGCCCAAGTATGAACCATCATGGGGTTGAAGGAGGGAGGTTAACCTGCCCTCTGCACCAGGACTCAATGGCCCACCTCTTCACCTCAGTCCCCAGGGCATAGGCCCTTCTCACTGGTCCCCCCGGGCTGTGGTGGGTGCTGTGGCCACACCCAGAAAGTCCAGCCGGTGCGGGAACCCACACACATGCCGCAGGCCATAGGGTCCCATCCCGAGAGCTCTACTCCGTGCTCACCCCACCTGCCACCCTCCCTCCAAGCCCCAGCACTGAATAGGGCCTCCTTCTTCTGACCCAAGGAGTAGGTCTCTCTGCTCCTTGGAGCTCAGGATGGACAGAAGGCCATTGCTATGCGCTCTCCCCCACACACCAGCCCTCCTAGAAGGCCTCCAGGGTGTCCAAAGACCCCATACTCTTCCTGGGGACCCAAGCTGGGCCATCCTGGGCAGAGGCAGCCTGATGACCGCCCAGCAGATTCTCATCAAAGACCTTTTGAGGACAATTTGGTCATCTTCTCCTTATAATAAAGCACACACAGTACAATAAATGCAACACGAATAAAACAAATCTTGTATAAAACAGAGGGCTCAACCCGACTTGGAGTGCTTGGACAAAGTAAGGCTGCCCTGGGATGGAACCTGAGAGCAGGGCAGGGCACTGGGCACTCGGCCCTTCTGTGGTGCTGGAGCTCAGTTGCCCCATGGGATGGTCCTGTGCTCTCCTTCTAGTGTGACTTAGTGGACCAGTGGTGCACACACTGGCACAAGAAAGGACGTAGTTGTTAAACCCCGTTCTCCTGGGAAGCAGCCTATACCAGGGGTAGTAGCAGCTTCTAGGGAGCACTTGTAGCCTGTGGATCTCACCCCCAGTCTCCAGGGTTAGTACTGAGAGGATCCCATCAAAGGTGATGGAGTCCTGACAGTGGTCATGGACTCGTAACAGAGCCAGGGTGAGAGGGCTGGGGAGACACCTGCTGCCCCCCCCAGGTTTGGGCATGAGCCCTCTTCCCCCAAGCATTTCCCCCATCACCATATAGCCTGCCTGCCTTTATTGATCAAATTTTTTTGAACTAAAAAAATATATATATAAAAATCAGACTGCTAAGACCATTAAGTCAAAAGATTTCATTAGGAACAGGGGAACAATTGTGTAAAAAAACAAAACAAAACAAAAACTAGAAAGATTAAAAAGAGACAAAAAAGAGCAAAGGAATTAAAGACTGATGAGCAATTGAAGGGACATTGATGTGGATGGCAAACAGAAGAGAAGAGAGTTGAAAGGGAACGAAATGAAAAGGTGAAAAGGAAAAATAATAACGAGAAAAAAATGAAAAATAAGGTACGAGATGAAAAGGGAAGCCATCAAGGAAGACGAAAAATTAAAATAAATAATTAACAGCTCCAGCTAGACAAGGTAAAAAAAAAAAAAAGACGAAATGTCGGAAAGCAAAAGGATAAAAGTATGACAAAGCTAAAATATAAAAGGATAAAAATGAAATAATAAAAAGGTGGTAAAAGATTAAAAAACAGAGCTGCATAAAATGTGAGATATAAATAAAACACTTTGCACAAGACAAGATTAAGAAAGGTGCAAAGCTAGTGTGCAGGGGGAGATTAGGAGGAAGGGCGATGACTGGGCCCCGATGATTCAGCCACAAAACAATGCCCTCGAGGGAGCGGTGAGGTCCCCGGAAGGATGCAGGGTCACACTCCTGGAAACACCACCGGCACGCGTTTTATTAAAATGGCAGCAGCCAGATTTCAAGGGCATAAGACTCTTCTGCAAAGGCGCACAGGTGTTGTCTATACCCGCAGAGGTGGGATCCAGCAGATGTCCCCTTCTCCAAGCTTCTGGATCAACACTCACGGCTTCTTGCAAAGGCCCCGACCTGATGCACTCAGTCCCTCGCTGCAAGTCCCACCCGCCAGCTCTCAGACACCGGCCACCCCATCCCCCCCTGGGATAGGGAGCAGACAAGCCCCTCTTGGGCCACGGCCCCACACACACCCCCAGCAGACCCGCTGCCCCTCGTACGGGCAGACACGAGCCCGGCAGCCGCTTGGGACGACCAGGATGTGAAGGTTGAGAGCAGAGACCTTTGGGTCTGAGCCCTGGCTTCGCTGCTAACTAGCTGTGTGGCCCCCAGAAAATTGCCGAACCGCTCCGTGCCTCAGTTTCCCCACCTAAAAAGAGGTGCTCGTAAACGTATCTCCTTCTCAGAGGAGAGAGGCTGAGGGGTTCATAAACATAAACGGCGCAGAGTGCAGGCCAAGTGATAGCTGCTGCTGTTGCTAATGACCCTACCGCTTCTTTGTTTCCTCACTGGCCCCCCAAGTTGTTGGGGGTGTGACCTTGGCCACCTGAGTCCCTCCGAGCTCCAGTCTCCTGCTCAGATATCTGACTCCAGACCCAACCAGCACTTCGTCGTCTGCTTTGCCCAAAGTCTGAACTCCTGGGCCCCCCGACCCTCCCTGCCAGCCCCCGTCGGCCTCGACCTCTGGCAGGGCTGCTGACCCACTCAAGGCAGATGTCCCACCAACGGTCTTCACACCATCCCGCAGTGTCAGACTAAGGGTGACCCCTGATTGCTCCGTGCATCCCCACGGCCCAGAGCTCCTGGAGGGCAGGGTCTGCTTCTCCCTGTGGGTCAGCGAGAGAAGCTTTCCTGGAGGAAGAGAAATGGCCAGGGTAACGTCTGGACGATCCCTGACGGAGGTGGGGACAGGGGATGTGACACACGGCCTGTGCACGGGGCTCCCGGAAGCTCTCTCCTTCCAGCTGAAAATGCCCTCAGAGTCTGCTGAGTGAGAGGCCCACCCCCACGCCAGGACTGGCCTCAGGCCTCCTTCACGAAAACCTAGAGCTGGTCCAGATTCCCTGAAAGTCTCCGTGGGGTGTGCATGTGTCAGAGCCCTGAGGGGTGCTCTCAGGCTGGGGCTCTTTGGGGCGGTCGTGGAGAAGGCCCAGCCCCAGCTGTGCTGGCTGAAAATCCAGCCCTGTGCTTGGCAGCAGGGAAGCAGGGCCAGCGGGGACCCCCCTCCACCTCCCTCCGCCCCCCCAGAGCGCTGAGGCGCCTGGCCTGCCTGCAAGTGTGTTGTCCGGGCAACGGCACTTTGAGTGACGGCAGGTACCAGAGCAGAGTTCAGGAACATCCAGCCGCTTTGCCCCCCCAGAGCACAGGGCTGGACCCCTAATGAGAGGGGTTTCTGCTCACCCTGTTCCCCAGAATCTGGGCGTGCCAGAGGCCCGCGCTCCCCATGGGCTGCCCTAAACCTGCCTCCTCTCCTCCCCTTTCCTGAGCCCTGGAGTTAGGAGCCAAGGGTGCCCTTAGCCTGGATGCACAGATGGACAGAGCCCTGGCCCCTGAGAGCTGCAGGTGGCCTTCCCCGTGTCTGGGGTCGAGGGCCTGGAAGCCCCCCCTCTCCCGCCCCCCTTTCTTCTCTGGGCCCCAGCTTCTGTTCTGGTTCTGCTCTTCCACGGCCTCATGAAAAATTCATCCACTCCAACCACAGCTCACACACCGAGAAAACACACCTGGCTCGCTCCTGGGGGCCCTGCCTTTGAAGGTTCAGAGTTCTTTGGGCTGCTGAAGAAAGCAGCAGTGATGACACGTGTGCGGGTACGTGTGTGGGTGCGGGCCTGGGCCAGCCACACATGGGTGTGTGGGTACACACTGATGGGTGTCTGTGTGCCATGTGCACACTGTGACCACCTGAGAGTCAACGGCCAGGCAGGCAGGACGCCTGTGTACACTGTGACCACCTGAGACTCAACCACCAGGCAGGCGGGTCCCCTATGCACATGTGACCACCTGAGACTCCATGTCTAGGCAGGAGGGACCCCCGTGCACACTGTGACCACCTGAGACTCAACCACCAGGCAGGAGGGACCCCTGTGCACATGTGACCACCTGAGACTCGACGGCCAGGTGGGAGGGACACCTAGCCTGTGGAAACAGGAGAGGCAGAAAAGCAAAAGAAGGCCAGGACGTGGGCTGGGAGGACCATCCCGGGCCAGGACCAGTCTAGGCCCCACTTGCGGGGGAGGCAGGACTCCCAGTGCTCTGTCCCGGAACTAACCAGCAGAAACCATGGCCTTGGGTCCAGAGCCTTCGGCCTCCATGGCCAAGCAGGCCTCAGCAGACAACGTCCAGAGCGTGATCTGGCGGGGTTGGTGGCATCGTGTACACAGGCACACGCCTGTACGGATGCATGTGGATAGGGCCTGCATCACCAGGGAGCTCAGGGGTGCAGGTCTCGGGCAGCTCACCCTTGGATTCGTTCCCCCAAGACCCCTTCCAACTCCACAGGTCCTGCCGCCGGGAGAAGCTTGCTTAGCACCAGGCCCGGCTCTCACGTCAGTGTAAGCGATCAGAGGGGAAAACTAAGAGCCCTGGCAACGAAAAGTCGGAAAAGGTTATTTTTCTGGACCCCTGTTTCCTGTGACTTGTTGAAGAGAAATATTACCCGGCTCCCAGAGCAATAGGAGAGCGTAAAGTTATGAAATTGAGGGCACCTTCACTGAGCAATCGATTAGCAGCCGAGAGAGCTTGTGAATTGGCTGTCTGGACATTTCCAGTAATAAATTGTGAAATAGTCCATGAATAAGTAGTTGGCGGAGTTCAGAATTACCCCCTAGGAAATGTTGCAGGTCTGGAGACACATTACTAAGGCGAGCACCATTTTAATGCTCTGGGCTTTGGCTGTTAAATATGTATGCCATCCGCAGAGCACTTCCCGAAATTAATGGCATTTTACAGCTGCTCCGAAGGCAGCGTATTTATATGGAGATGTATAGATTCTGGGGCTGTGGTGGCTTCACAAATGAAGTGCTAATTTTAGAGAATAGACCCAGGGAGGGGCGCGGAGGGAGGGTCAGAAAGTGAGCCGGCTCAGGGCTCAGGGACCTTTCCGGAGAAACAGTTTTCCCAGCTCTGGTCTTTAACCTTTGGTGACCTTGGGCACGGTCTCTAGGCCAGAAAGGGCCCTGCGGTCTCAGGCTGCCCAGCACGCAGAAAGAAGACAATGATATTAATAAAAAAAATCAATCAATCAGCCGTATTGGCAGCTGACATTTGCCAGGCGCTGTTGTAAGCGCTTTTTACAGATTGGCTCGTTTCCTCCTCTCGACAAACCCCGTCTGGTGGGTTCCAGTCTTACCCCCAGTCTACCTACAGAAGGAGGTAGGTTGTGCCCAGGGACCTGTGTGCGTGGTTGGTGACTCCCCCAGGAGAGACAGTACCTTCTCTCCGATTCTTTCCTCGAGCTAACATCGGGCCTCCAGGTACGGTGGTGCATTTTGTTCACTGCACAAGAACGTGCAACCGGAAGGAGGGGTTGGGACTGAAGCTCCGGCCCCCAGTCCCTGCTCACTGTGCCCCCAGCACCTGCCCCAGCCCCACCTGGGCTCTTCTCACCAAACTTGTGAGTCGCCTGCGCAGTTGCGGGTGGGGGTGGGAGGTACGGAGATTCGGCGCGGAGTCGGGCCGAGGACCCCGTGTCTCACCCATTTAGACCGAGAAGTGGTTTTCTCGGGATCCCTGGGGAGGCAGGAGACCCCAGCGTGGCCCTGAAGCATCCCAAAGGAGTGTTGAAAATCGAGAGTAAACGAGCCCCGCGGTGGGATGGGATTTTGGAAGGTAGCAGTACCAGGGGGTACGGGGGCCAGAGAATTGAGCCCACCTGCCGCAGCGCGAGCCCGGCAGGAGGCTGCTGGTGGGTTTGCACCCGAGAAGCCCCAGTGGGGCTGTTCTCCGGGGCCTCCCATGGCTCACTCCATCCCCGGGGGCCATGGCGTCAAAGGCAGGGCCGAGCTGGTTGACGGAGTGATGACGTGTGCCCTTCCCGCGGGCATGTGCACAAGGGATTCCCAGTGCACACACGCTCAGTCAGCTACTGCTCAGCCCCCGAGGCCTTCAGATAGGTGAGGGGTGGGGGGGACGATGCCCAGATGGCTTTGGGGAAGGTTAGGGCCCAGGAAGAGGCCAAGGGGCTACAGGTGGGAAGAAGTGCATGCAGCGGGACTCCATCAGACTGCAGTGCAACTCCTGTGTGACCCGGAGCCACTTACTGACCCTCTCTGAGCGTGTTTCCTCGTCTATGCTACGGGAGTAACGCCCCCCGTCTTGCAAGCCTGTGAGGCCTGAATCAAGCAGCCTGTGAGAGTGCCCAGATCCGTGTCTGGCGAATAGTAGGAGCTCAGGAAATGCCGAGTTGGCTCAGGGGTGGCTCGTCCAGTGCAGCTTGGGGACGGGGACTTGTCGGTGAAGCTGGGGGCATGGGGCCCGTGGAAACACAGACGTGTGTGCTGATCTGGACTTCAGGGCCGGGCCACGGACCTGGATTTTGGGACGTCAGAGCCCTCGGTGCTCACTCCGTAGGCCCTAGCCTGGCCCCAGGGCAACGGCTCCCTTGTCGGGTCCGTCCTGCCTCATCCCCCGGTTCTCCCCAGGGTGACCAGGGGCTTGCTTCCAAATGAGAAATCAGTCGGACTTGTGGCTCTTCCCAGCCCCTTGCTGGCTCTGCACTGCCTGGCAGGGAGGAGCCCTGACATGGGCCAGCGGGCCCTGTGCTTTGCCCCCTGCCACCCTGAGCCACCTGCCGAGGACCCTTGCACCCACCAGGGAGAGGCACCCTGGGGCTCGGGGGCTCGGGCTCAGTGAGGTGGTTAAGCGCTTGCACTCTGGGCCGACACCAGCCCGAGTTCAGATCCTCTCCTTGCCCACAGGGTGAGCTCACGCCAGTTGCTCGTCCTCCTGGGGTCACTCTCTGCAGCTGTAAGGTGGGGTTATGGGTCCCCACCCCCCCGACACAGTGAAGTCGGGGTTTAACCAGGCTATGCTGCGTGTGTGTCTGGGAGCACTCCCGGCTGGGCAGCGTGACAGGGCCGGTGTGTCCGCACGCAAATGCGGGCTCTCGTGGTTGTCAGTGTTCACTGATCCTCACGCTGGGGGCTGAGATCCCCGGAGGGAGAGAGAGATAGCAGGGGATGTGGGAAGCCGTCAGGGAGGCGTCCGGGAGGACCCTGGACGGAGGGTCTTGTGCAGCCGGGTTCCCACACGTGAGCAGACATCAGAATCCCCTGGAGGGCTGTTTTTTTTTTAAATTTTTTTATTTTTAAGATATATTTGTTCATTTGAGAGAGAGAGAGAGAGAGAGAGAGTGAGCATGAGCGAGGGGAGGGGCAAAGGGAGGGAGAGGGAGAAGCCCAAGCTCTGAGTGCAGAGCCCAACAGAGGGACTCGAGCCTGCAACCCTGAGATCCTGACCTGAGCCAAAATCAAGCGTCGGATGCTCACCGACTGAGCCACCAGGCGCCCCTCCCCTGGAGGGCTTCCTCCCAGGGTTTCTGGCCCAGTGGTTTGGGAGGGGCTAGAGAGCGAACGTTTCTCATATGTTCCTGGGTGCCCCTGGTTCCGCTGGCGCTGCTGGCCGGGACCACACTTTGAGAACCTCGGGCCTTGCGTTGATGGTGGGGCAGGGAGCACAGGATTCACATCCGATGGTCTTGAGTTCGAATGCCTGGTCCACCACTTACTAGTTCCGGGACCATGGGACAGGTAATCAGCCAATACCTATCGAGCCCCGCTCAGGGCTGGGGCCCCCTAGCCGGTGGCCGCTGGGGTGGCCCGGCATTGGCCTGACTCGACACCACCCTTCGAAGCCACCCAGAGGTTTCCTAGACAGAGGAGCAGAGGTTCCAGCCCAGGCTCTCTGCCCAGCCGCTCAGCCGTCGTCAGCCCCTCTCCCCTCTCATCAGCCCCTCTCATCTGTCCCCGCAGGAGGAGCCCTTTGTCATGTTCCGGAAGTCCGACAGGACGCTGTTTGGGAATGACCGCTTTGAGGGTTACTGCATCGACCTGCTGAAGGAGCTGGCCCACATCCTGGGCTTCTCCTACGAGATCCGGCTGGTGGAGGACGGCAAGTACGGGGCGCAGGACGACAAGGGCCAGTGGAACGGCATGATCAAGGAGCTCATCGACCATGTAAGTGGGAAGGGAGCACGGGGGAGCTGCCCAACCCCTCACCCGGCCCCCCCCCCCCGGGAGGCTTGGCCAAGCCCCGGCACGGCACGTCGGGGGTAGGGGGCATCCTGGCAGGTGGGGGCCTTGGGGGCAGGGGAGACGGAGACAGAGGTGGTGACTTGGGAAGGACCCAGCTCCCTTGGGCCTGCCTTGCTCGTGCTCCCCACTCCCAGACATGGCCTTGCACCCCAGCACACGCGCACGGCCCCATCTGACTGCGCCTTTCGCACTGGTGTCTTTGGTGAGCTCACCCTGCAGGGGTTCCTCAGCCTGTCCCTGCCTCCTGCTCCTTGAGGAGACTCCAAAGGATGCCCCAGCCATGTGGGCAAGATGCCAGCGCAAAACACGTCACAAACCCTGGGCACAGAGCTGGATCCGTCGCTGCCTTGAGTAACGTTGGGTGTGATGGGGAGACAGGGGGTGCAGGCAGCTGAGGGCTGCATGAAGGGACTTACTGGGCCAGGGTGGGGCTTGCTCAGCCCGGGGAAGCAGACAGGCTGGGCTTTGGGAAGAAGGAGCAGCTCGTGGGAGGGGCCTGGGGTGTGTGGGACCCCAGGAGGAAGACATAGGCCACCGTGTGGGGTGGCCACAGCCCCGGGTTTGAGCGCGGGGCCCTCCCTCCCCAGCTGTGCGGTCGGGGCCGTCGGGGGCCTCTCTGAGTGGTTTCCCCATCTGTGGCCTGGCGTTAATCCCTCCTTCTTGGTTGGAAGTGCGAAGTGCGGGGCGCAGCCCGCTGTACTACCCAGACCTGTCAGATGCCGGAAGTTAGGAGGCCAGGCGGCAGTCCCACAGAGCTACAGCCCAGGCCCCACTTCAGCACCTGACAGGTGTGCCACGGCGCACGCTCATCATCAACCTCCCCGAGACCCCATTTCCCCACGTCTAACACAGGAGTAAGTGACAACCAGCAAAGCTCCCACGGTTGTCGCGGGGATGAAAGGAGGAGCACAGGCCTGTCTGTCCCACGATAAACGTGTCCTGCCTTCCAGCCCAGGGCCCTCGGCCTTCCAGAGGCATCTGTTAGGGAAGACCTGCTAAGGAAGGTGAGAGAGGGCCTGATCCCTGCCAGACCGCTCTGTTCTCCCCCTCTCAGTTATCCCCCCAACAGCCTCGCGATGCACCCATTTTACAGACGGGGTTGAGGCAGGGAGAGGTGAGGCCCCACGGCTCGTAGGTGATGGAGCCGGGCTTCCAAGTGGAGGAGCCTTTGGAGGCTCTCTGCCTTCGGAAGCCCTGTCCTCCAACCCCGGAGCCAGGGCAGAGGTAGGCTCATGCAGGGTGGATCTTTGCACGGATCCAGCCGGGGGCTGGGGAGAGGGATGGCTACCGCCCTGCGTCTCTGGGTGGGCGTCCTGCTCACCCTCCTGCCCTCCCCGCTTTGGAGCCTCGGAGCTGGAGCTCAGAGTGGCCGGAAGGCTCAAGCAGAGCCTTCATTTCCTAGGCCCCGGGAACTCGGGCCCGCGTGGGAGGCTGGTGGGAGAGGCTCGCGGTGGCCAGCAGGACCTGGGGGCTGGGCTTGGTTCCCACTGGGCTGCTCACTCGCCGTGCACCCCCGGACACGTTTCCTGGCCTCTGTGGGTCTCAGTTTCCCTCTCTGTACAACGGGAATGGCAGTCATAGAACGAGCCCCGGGGGTTGTGAGGTCACACACGCGCATTACGCAGTCTGCACCATGTCGTTACCTGCTCTTCTTGTTTTTATTTTTGTCATAAGGCTGTTCTTTCGAGGAGGCCCGGGTGGGGGCTTCAGGAAATCCTTTTTATGTCTCTGAGCTCCAGTTTCTAACTCCAGGGCGAGAATACCTGCCCGGCCTTGTTCCCAGCGTGGTTTGGGGCCGGGAGGAGGCAGCTGGTGGGGAAGCGCTCCCAGATTGTGGAATCCAGTCTAAACGGAAGGGAGTGGTGTTGTCACCATTATTAGTAATAACTATAATTATTATGGAAATTAGTGAGCAGGCCCCAGAGGCATCTCCATTTATCAGCTCCCCTACTCCCGCTTTCTGCCTGGGATCTGGAATGTGGGGCCCCAGTGGGTGCCCGAGCCTGTCATTTGCAGAGGCTGCCAGGCTGGGGAGGCGGAGGGGGTCACGTGGAGCGCCGAGGCCACCTGTGGAAGCGAGCCGGCTGGTGCCAGTCTTGTCGGGCACAGCCTCTCCGGCGTTGGGAGCTTTGAAGAGCAATTCGCAAAGGGGGTGGATCAGAAAACCCCAGCAGCGGCCCGACCTCTCTAAGCTGACCCTCAGCCGGGGAAAAGAGGGGGGCGGCCTCGTCCGCGGGCTCCGTGCGGCACCGTATCCATCAAGGCGCGGGCCCTGACGGGACATGCAGGGGACCTTGTTAAACCCGATTCCCTGCAATTGATGAGCCTATTAATCCTAGCTTGGTGCCATTTTTAATAACATCATAACCATTTATTAGTGTCGTCAGATAATTAGTCTTCTCGCTAGCTCATAGATAGCGTGGTAGAGGCTTGGCAATATTATTACTTCCTTATTAGGGATCTGAACGCAGACGTAAAAGTGATGAATGCCTGCCTTTGCAGGAATCTGACCCGCGAGGCCCATTCGGAGGCCCCGGGCGGAGCCTCTGACCAGCAGGACCAGAGAGTCCGCTCACCTCCGACCCGTGCCACACGGCCTTCCAGGGAGCCAGGGTCATGGAGGAGGATGGGGCGTGTGCAGGGTGCCCCCCTCCCGCTGATGCAACAGACGCACCTGGACGGAGCAGTGATTTCTCCATCCGTCACCCCAGCTCTCCCAGACTGCCACTCTCTCCACTTTTACTGCCTGCTCTCTCCCATTTCCCCCTCTCTCCAAGGTCTCACTCACACCCAAGCCTTAAATTACTCGCAGGTGTTTTAATGACTCTGGAATCCAACAGGGATGACTTCACAATCCGGGTCTAGCACATACTCAACCTTTCTGGCCTCCCTTTCCACATCTACGAAATGGGAGTCATAAAAAAGCCCTCTTCCCAGGGTTTGTAGGACGATTTAATGAGCTGCGGCACAGAGATGCTTAGCAGAGCGCCTGGCGCCTGGTAAATGGGCAGCACCTGGGAGCTGTTCCTCCTGGAGGATGAACACCATGGCGGTGGCGGAGCCAGCCCCTCAGCCGTGGTCATCCCGGGGGGCAGGCGGGACATAGTGACCCGGGATCTAAGCCTGGCCCCTCTGAATACAAATAGGAGCCCCGGGAAACCAACTGACACTGTTCAGACTCATGGAGAACAGAGGCACACACCAAGGCATCGCCCCTTCTGCGTCACTTGGGGCATTGGCCTTTCCTGACACCTGCCATCCAAAGCTTCTGTCCTGACACACGGTCCCCAGCACCATGCTCGGGGATCGGGGTGCTGAGGGGAGGCAGCGATTTCAGAGAGTGGAGAGTCTGAACCCAGGAAGAAAGGCTACTGCTCCAGATGGGGGCAAGAGACGTTCTTGAAGAGCCTTGGGTGCTGCACACGGGCATTTGGTCCTCAGTGTGAGAGCTGCAGGGCACAGCTAGAGGATGTGGGGCGAGGGGGTGACATGAGAATGGGCCTGGAGGGAAGTCACGGAGCTGCTGGGCTAAACGGGAGCCAGCCTGGAGGCCATCGCTGGGACCTGGGTGAAGGAGAACATGGTGGAGGCAAGAAGGGAGGGCCACGGTGGGGAAGGAGGGCCCAGATAGCTCTGCAAGGAGACCGGAAGGTAGAGTTGAAAAGATTCGTGATTGGTTGGATGAAGGAGGTGAGGGAAAGGGAGGATTTTTGCACAAGGACAAGGGGTGAAATTCCAGAGCTGGGAAGAGGACAGTGTCATCCCCAAATAAAGGGCCTCCTGGCCACGTAGAGGATGGAGGGGGGGTACGGAGAGCATGCTGGGGTTGAGGTGCCAGTAGGCGGCTGGCCATACGGCTGAGCAGTCAGAGGAGGGAGCGGGGCAGGAGGTCAGGATTTGGGAGTCCTCAGCACAACCTTGGGGTGGGGGGGGACCTCGGGAGACATCCAGGGGGAGAGATTGCGGGCAGAGGGAGAGATGGGAGCCTGGGTAGGATGCGAACGACACGGGCGTGTAAGGAGAGAGGGCAAGGAGGAGTCCACAAGATGCCTGCCAAGGCCAGAGAGGAAGGAGGAGAACCAGGAGAGCGTGGGTGACAGGAGAGGCCACTGGAAAGACACGGGCAGAGGGTGACAAGTGGCAGGCAGGAAGGTCTACGGAGAGGAATGAACAGCATCCACGCGTTGGCACGCGGGCAGGGGCAGCCCCCACGTGGGCCTCCCGAGTGCTCCTGGCCTGGCTTCCCGCCAGCTTCATTCTCAGGGACCCAGGGATCCTGTCCTGGCTGCTGTCCTGAGCCCGGCAGTCAGAGCGGGTGGGTTAGGCAGAGACGACGCAGGAGGCTGGCCCGCAGGGAGTGGAGAAATGCCCTCCTGGCCACAGGAAGCCATCAGTTCTCTTGTCTCTCAGTCGTCACCTCTCACTAGAGCAGGTCGGGGGTTTCCCTCGCTCGTGGATGGGGCCCGACCAAGATCCACCAAGATGGGGGATGGAACAAGATGGACACTGGGGTGGTCACGGGTGGAAGCAGCGCTGCCCGGACACCCCGTCTGCCTCCCTGTAGGGCTGAGTGCCGGGCAGAGGGGATGGCTCGGCGCCAAGTGCCCACCTCCCCCGCCTGACCCTTCTTCCAGACAGCGAGGCCCCGATGCATGCTCCTGGCTGCCGCCTGAGCACCTGGGCTGGGCACGCCGAGCAGGTGGTGACGAACGAGGGCGCATTAGCGAGCACGTGGACCCACACACCTTCCCCGGAGACATGGCAGTGGGGTCCTAACAATGGAGCTGCCCATCCTGTGCAATCGGAGGGCCAGGTGTCAAGGCCGTGACCCATCACCCACCATGTCCCCCACCGTTCAGTAACTGGATCTTAGTCTTGGCCCCCATGGCTGGTGGGCGGGGGGGAACCCCAGGCCCCCGTTT